TAGAAGGGTTGAGGGTTTTAAAAAGTGTTCTGTTGCACCATCGTGTTCTCGGAGAAGAGCTCGGAGAAGGGTGAAATAGGGCAGGTAGGTAGATAGAGGAGGGGGGTCTGGTGGTAGGGGGGAGGAGAGTAAGAAGGGCCGTCCGTAGAGCAGCTCAAAAGGGCTGAGTTGTGAGGGGCCCCGGGGGCTTGCTCGGAGCCTTGTCAAAGCGATAGGAAGTAGGGTAACCTAGGACTGGCGGAGTTCGAAGGCAAGTTTTGTTAGGTGTTCTTTGATGAGGCCGTTGGCCTGTTCTACTTTACCCGAGGATTGGGGATGGTAGGCTGCATGCAGTTTCCACTGAATCCCTAAGGATGTGGAAACAGCAGTGGTAATCTTAGAAATAAAGGCAGGTCCGTTGTCTGACTGGATGGTAGAAGGAAGGCCGAATCGGGAAATGATGTCCCGGACGAGGTGCTCGGCTACAACTCCTGCGGTTTTATAAGCTGTGGGGAAAGCTTTGATCTAGCTGGAGTAAGGAAGAAGGGGAGATGTTACATTGCTGCAGGTCTGTCGCCAGGGCCTGGCTGAACAGGTGGGGGCTGTCCCGGAAGCCTTGAGGGAGGACCGTCCACGTTAACTGTTGAGACAGATTGGTGACAGGATCTTTCCAGGTAAAAGCAAAGAGGAAGTAGGAGTCAGGGTGTAGCGGGATAGAGAAAAAGCATCCCTAAGATCTAGGACTGAAAAGTGGGTTGTGGACGGTGGGATATGTGAGAGGATGGTATAGGGGTTGGGGACTACTGGATGGACCGGAATGACTGCTGCATTGATAAGGTGGAGGTCTTGGACCAGGCGGTACTGACCTGAGGGCTTTTTCACAGGCAGAATGGGAGTGTTGCAGGGGGAGTTTGCAGGAATGAGTAGTCCTTGAGCTTTCAGTTTATTTATGATAGGTAGGAGGCCGAGGCAGTGAACTTTGGAGATAGGAAACTGAGGGCGAGAAGGGAAGGCTGTGGGGTCTTTTAGGTGTATGAGTATGGGTCGGTGGTGTGAGGCTACAGTGGGGGTGTCACTATCCCATACTTTGGGATTTACGTCAGGGAGGAGTTCGGCCGGAGGAGGGGGGAAGGTGAGTTGGCGATGAGGGGTAAGAGGAAGGTCTCTGTGTGTGGAAAAGTAATGGTAGCTTGCAATTTTACTAGGATATCTCATCCTGGGAGAGGTACAGGGCAAGAGGGAATGACTAGAGAGGAGTGGGTAAAAATGGAAGGGCCAAACAGACAGGTTGAGGGTGGAGTTTGGTGAGGAGTGGAGGGGGACCCATCAATTCCTATAACAGAGACCTGGGAAGGGGTGGTTTTGCCTGAAAAGGAGGGAAGAACAGAGTAGGTAGCCCCCATGTACGCTCTTACCCGCTACCTGGAGCATGACCCTGGGCTCAGCAAGGGTAACTGAGGTTGAGGAGCCAGGGCCCTGTTAATCATCCCTGAACCCTAACAACTTTGGGATTGGAGATTCCTGAATGCCTGGCTCCTGACCAGCTGAGGCAGAAGCCTGGCTCCGGGGGATGTTACCCTGCTGCCCCCTCGTGCCAGAGTTTTGAGGAACTGAGGCCTGAGGTGAGTTAGGGCAATCCGACTTCCAGTGTCCCATGAGCTGACAAATAGGGCAGGGCTTGGTAGGAGGCCGTGGCTGGGGGCAGGCTTTTGACCAGTGCCTTTCTTTTCCACATTTGAAACATGCCCCGGGAGGGGTGCGGGTATTTGCTTTACCCTTGTTATTTCTGCCGGCCGAAGGGCTGCTACTAGGGCTTGGGTCTGTAGAGCGACTTTCTGCTTCATGCGAGTTTGGCGGGCAGCCTCAGCCGCATCTTCCCTGGCATTGAATACTTTAAAGGCCATTTTTACCAAGTCCTGTATAGGGGTTTCGGGGCCATCTCCTAGCTTCTTCAGTTTTTTCCAGATATCAAGGGCGGACTGAGATATGAAATGAGATGCTAGGACAGTCGCCCTGTTTTGTGAGGCTGGGTCTAGGCGAGTAAAGCAGGTAAGGGCGTCTTGAAGACGGGTGAGAAACAGGGCAGGGTTTTCATCGGGTAGTTGGGTGATTTCTCTCAGTTTGTCATAGTTTACAACTTTGTTAGATACAGTATCCATTCCCCTGAGGAGGTATCTAATCATGCGGTCCCTCTTGGGTATGTCAGACCCTCGATTAGCCTGATAGTCCCATTGGGGGTCTTCACCTGGGATTACTTCGGGGCCTAAGGGGATCTGGTTATCTATAGCATGATCTTTGTCTGCTTGGTTTCTGGCTGCAGCTAGGATGTGCTCGTGCTCCTCTACAGTGAGGGTGGAGGAGCAGATAACGCGAATATCATGGCAAGTGAGGCTGTAGGCTTGAGTGAGGTATTGGAATTCCTTAATATAGGTGGACGGGTCGGCTGAGAAGGATCCTAAATGTTTCTCGATTTGGGACAGGTCTTGGAGTGAGAAAGGAACATGGACCCTGACTAAGCCTTCAGCGCCTGCTACTTCTCGGAGTGGGGCCAGGATAGCTGGTTGGTGAGAGTGGGTGTGGGCCACCACCGGAGAGGCAAGAGGAAGTGCGGCCTCCGAGGGAGGGGCCCAGAGGGAGTAGAAAAAGAGCGAGGCATGGCCTCTGAGGTAGGAGGTGCAGAGTGAGTGGGGGAAGAGCGTGCCGCTGATGGCGACTGGTTGCTGAGGTTGGCAGGAAGGGACAGATGTTCAGGCAGATCCTCCGGTGAGCAGTAGGGAGGGGGAGAGGTAGTGGAGGAAGATTTACGAGGGGTATGAACTAAGAGGATTTGGTAGGTGGAGCAGGAAGAACATAGGTCAGGGTGGGTACGGAGGTCCCAAAAAGCCTGGACTTAAGGAATTTCATTGTCTTTGCCCGTGCGGCGACAAAAATCGTCGAGATCTCGGAGAGTGTTGAAATCGAAAGTGCCAGTTGGGGGCCAATGTGACTGGTTACTGAGTTTGTATTGGGGCCAAGCCACCTGGGACAGGAAGACAAGCTTTTTCTTTCTGAGGGTTTCGGAGTATCCCAATTTGGTAAAATTTCGCAGCAAGCACCCAAGGGGGGTGCCGGAAGTCATTTTGGACTCTGAATTTCCCATGGCAGGCGCAGCTACAGACCCTCCAGTGCGGATGGGCAGATGCAAAGAAAAGGTGTCCCCGTTCGCTTCAAATTCCCCGGAGTACGGTTAAGTATGGATAGGGAAGCGGTCAGAGGGGCGTCCCCCATCTGGAGGCTGTCCCTCGGAAGGCTCCTGGAGCCGGAATGGAGGACTTCCTCGGCTCGGCCGAGACTAGGCGAGGAGTCCGTGCGGAACGCCGGAGGGAGCAACTGCACCGTGCCGTAGGAAGAGGAGATGGGAAGGGCGGGGTAAAGCAAGAAAAACTTGGCTTACCTTAGTCGGAGCATGGAGGTGGCAGGGCCAGTGTTGGGTAGGTTGGGAGGGGGGCCGTGGCCGGGCCAATGGCCCCTCCCTCCCGGGTTTTCGGCACCACTTGTCTGACCTACCCTCTGCGGGAGGACTGAGCTCGTTTGGAACAAAAACCGAACCGCAGGTTAGAAGAAATTCCTTAAGTTCAGGCTTTATTGAGAGGAAAGAGCCTCCGGGCGGACCAGCTGGGAAGAAGAGGAAAATGGCCGTGCCGCTCAGAGGGGCAGGGTTCTTTTATAGGGGGGCTGAAGGACTGAGGGAGAGAGCTGAGGTGGTGGGCAACGTTTGGTCAGTTTGAACCGCTGGGCGGCGGGAAGCTGCGGAGTGCTGATGAGGCAGAAGCCAGGCGGGAGGTGGCTGCGGCGCGGGAAGGCTAGGGCGGTAGGTAGAGTGAGAGATAAGGGATCCTCTTTGTGGGGAGAGGGAAAGAGAGCTTTCACAGTAGGGGCAGAGTTTTCCAAACATTGGGGTTTCTCCATGTTGGTCAGGCTGGTCTCAAACTCCCGACCTCGGCCTCCCAAAGTGCTGCAGTTACCGGCGTGAGCCACCGTGCTGGCCTTTTTTTATTGGTTTTGAGATTCAGAATCTCAACAGTGGGCTGTGGAAGGATGATAATCATTACTGCCAGCTGGGTCTGCATATGAGTGTCACAATCTCACCTGTGTGTTGAGATGTGTTAGGATATTTTCTGTCCCACTTGAGGGCTTTATACTCTATGCATACCTGAGACCTTTATGCTGGTATGGACCTATGGTCATACCTGTGGTCCTGGGCTCAGGTATGAGACTTGACATGTCTCCAGTTGGCTGAATCTGGATAAGAGATTTCTTACCTGCTATGAGCTGGTTTAGAAATATTTTACCATTTCAAGTCTGGCTGGATATTCACATATGACAGTCACAATTTCAACTGTGGACTGTATCCACTTATGAGGTTAGAACCTCCGAAGTGAGCTCTGTGTGGGTGGGTTCCAATCCTAAGGGTTGCTGTGTTGTGCACATGAGAAACACACCTCACTTGTGTGCTAGGCTCTATGATGACACTGTCTGTACCATCCAAGAGCTTTACACAGTACGCAAGTGAATGCCAATTCTGTATGGTCTTTATAAAGAGAAGACCCAGAAAGTTATGTGGGTGCCAAACTTTGCAAAGAGACACAGAATCTCCGCTATTGGCTGGTTAAATGTATGATAGTCTTTTTTTTTTTTTTTGTCTTTTTGAGATGGAGTCTGGCTCTGTCTGCTCAGAGAGGCCTGCAGCGGCGCTGTCTCGGCTCAGCTCAGGGAGGAGTCCGTCCCTGAAAAGGCTGCAGCTTAGGTTGTCACTCAGTCTTCACTGAGCCCAGCATCTGATTACCTCTCCTGTCATTCAGGTCCTGAAGGGGCAGGGCCTTCAACGTTATCCAATCAAGGACGGTGAACTGGAAACCGTCCAATCAGACACGCAGCTGGAGCGGGACAGGGCGGCTTCCGGGTTTGCAGGGGCCTTTGTCTCTTAGAAGCTGTGGGAGCTGAATGTCTCATGTTTCCTACCCTGTGTCCTCTCCATGTAGAAGCCCAGCCTCTGTGGCATTGTGACCTGCAGGTATTGGGAGATCCACAGCTATGACGCCAGGACCCCCTGGAAGCCTGGAAATGGTGAGAGTGCCGGTCCGATCCGGGAGGGAGGGGGGGGGGAAGGGGCTGTGGCGGGACTCAGGCCTCCCCAAAGTGGCTCCACCATGTGCGTCCGGAGTTCTCTCTTAGCTTGGCCTCAGCCCCCTTCAGCCATAAGATGGCAGCTGCGCTGAGGCCCGGCCCCAAGCTTTCTGTCCCTTACCTGCGCAGCGACTGTGCCCTTGCCTGGAGCCCTCTCTGGGCAGCTTTGCTCCCGCAGGTCCCTGTCCCTCCTAGATTGTGCAGGGACCACGGAAGGGTAGACACAGGAGAATCCTGACTCGTGTGGCGGGTTCATGAATGGGAAGAGCTTTGGTCTGTTGGGTTCCGAGTCTTTCTTTTTTCCTATTAAACATGTAGAGAAGTCACCGCAAAAATATTAAATAATTTAATCAAAAAGTAATTAAAAAATTGTAGCGTACCCAGCTATGCTTTGTCTTCCTGTGAGGTAGCTTGTCGTCCTGTGAGGTTGACCGAAAGGATGGAGAGTCAGGATTAGTAAGTTTATTTCAACCTGCCAGGCTGGCTGCCTCACCACAGGCAGTGATGGCAGCAGCCTGGCTTACAGACTGTGGAGGTTATATAGAAAGTTTGCAGGTGGCTGGGTGGTATTCTAAGAAAAACTGCCTCTTGGTTCTTAAGCGCTAGCATCCTGCTTAATTGGGTCACCATCCTGGGTTCCAGAGCCGGGTGCGACCACATCCTGGAACCCAGGTGCCCCTGTTTGTGTAAGGTCTGAATGAAGCAATTGAGGTTTAAATGAGGCAACTGAGGCCAGTTATTAAAATAAAGAAATTTAATCGGCTCCTGGGCGAGGTTCTGCGGTCCGGCCGATAGCCTTGCTAAGAGCCGGATGAACAACACCCACCCCTCTCTATGCCTGATAACAGTTTCAGGCAGAACACATTACTCAGCATCTGGCTCCTCCATGCGGGCTCCCCTCGCCCACTTCTGCATTCTGCCCCCAGGTATTCAGCACTAGACTATGCACTCTCAGCACCAAGCTATGCATTTGAACCTCAGCACTAAACTGTGCACTCTCAGCACTAAACTATACAGCTGAACCCGCGAAAATTGAAGAAATCCCGCCAAGCCTTACCCAATGGCAGCCCACCCCATGCATCCTAGGCCAGCCCCCCTCTAACCCCCGTAAAACCCCCTGCCCTGAGAAGTCAAGCGCGACTTCTCTGGCCCCCTTTCCTTAGGACCACAGAACCTCGCGGGAGGTAAATAAATTGGTATCTGATTGTTCTTATACTGGCCTTAGTTTCCTTATTTTAAACTCGGCAGTAACCATTACAACGAGGGGCCAGAGAAGTCGCGCTGACTTTCCGGGGCGTGGGGTTTTTATGGCATGGTGAAACGGGCAACAGCAGGGCGCTTTGATTGGCTCCGGGGGAGCGGGATTGGGACGGGGCGGGCCGCCCTTGGCTGGCGGGTTGTCGGGCGGGTTTTTTGGGTGCAAGAGCTGGCTAGGATTGCATTAGCCTGGGCGTGGTTGGCTTGCAGTGTTCCTGTACGGGGCAGACAGCGGCAGGAGGGGAGGGGTGTGGAATATCAGGGAGCCTTCCGGGCGAGGATACCGGCCTGACAGTTTGCAGGGCGTGAGGCTGTTTTTGCTGTGAGCTCGGCTTAGCGGGGAGAACGGGGAGGGTGTCTATGGAATTGCCTTGCTGTGACCCTAACACGTCCATAGAAGGGGCTTGAAGAAAAGATGTGATAAAGAAAACCAAATTCAATTAATTGGTTAGGTACAGTTACATAGTTTCTTAATTTGTACAATCAAGGTGGACATTTCCTGGTTATGTATGCAGAGGTTAATTGGCAGTTTATACTTGGCTAAGCCTCAATTTTGTTTCCCCCAATTCAGTAATTTATAAAAACATGCGTTTGAGTCAGATTTCTTTAAAGTAGGCCGGGCGTGGTGGCTCACGCCTATAATCCAGGCACTTTGGGAGGCCGAGGTGGGTGGATCACGAGGTCAAGAGATCGAGACCATCCTGGTCAACATGGTGAAACCCCGTCTCTACTAAAAATACAAAAATTAGGTGGGCATGGTGGCGTGCGCCTGTAGTCCCAGCTAGTCGGGAGGCTGAGGCAGGAGAATTGCTTGAACCCAGGAGGCGGAGGATGCGGTGAGCTGAGATCGCACCATTGCACTCCAGCCTGGGTAACGAGCGAAACTCCATCTCAAAGGAAAAAAAAAAATGATTCTCCTGCCTCAGCCTCCCAAGTAGCTGGGATTACAGGCATGTGCCACCATGCCTGGCTAATTTTGTACTTTTAGTAGAGATGGGATTTCTCTGTTTGTCAGGCTGGTCTCAAACTTCTGACCTCAGGTGATCTGCCTGCTTCAGGGTCCTAAAGTGCTGGAATTACAGGTGTGAGCCACTGCACAGGCCTAAGTAATCATTTTTTGACAAAGCATTGGATGGCACTTTAAAAAGGTTTGTTTGCTATTTGTAAATACTTTCCACGAGAAGAAATCAAATGTAATTTCCTGACGCTGTAGTGTAAAAAAAATAATTGTTCCTGTTTTGGCTTTATCTTCTACAGGCACAGAGTTTTTTTTTTTTTTTTTTTTTTGAGACTCAATCTCACTGTGTCACCCTGGCTGGAGTGCAGTGGCAGGATCTGATCTTGGCTCACTGCAACCTCTGCCTCTCAGGTTTAAGCGGTTCTCCTACAGGTACATGCCACCATGCCCGGCTAATTTCTTTTTTTTGTACTTTTAGTGGAGACAGGATTTTACCATGTTAGCCAGGATGGTCTCGATCTCCTGACCTCCTGATCTGCCTGCCTCAGCCTCCCAAAGTGCTGAGATTACAGGCATGAGCCACTGCACCTGGCAGGCACAGAGATCTTATCAGAATGTTTTTGGGTTAAGGTTTCCCTTTGGAAACTATGAGGTGAGATGTCTTCAACCACCCTTTGGTTTTGTTCTTGGTCCTGGGCTTCAGTACTGCCTGGGGATAAATCAAGATACCCACCATGGCTGTATCTGCTGGAGTGTCTGGTGGATATCAGCTCCTGGTCATTTTTAATTTTTTTTTTTTTTTTTTTTGAGATGGAATTTCGCTCTTGTTACCCAGGCTGGAGTGGAATGGTGCGATCTCGGCTCACCACAACCTCTGCCTCCCGGGTTCAGGCAATTCTCCTGCCTCAGCCTTCCGAGTAGCCGGGATTACAGGCATGCGCCACCATGCCCAGCTAATTTCTTTGTATTTTTAGTAGAGACAGGGTTTCACCGTGTTGACCAGAATGGTCTTGATCTCTTGACCTCGTGATCTACCTACCTGGGCCTCCCAAAGTGCTGGGATTATAGGCGAGAGCCACTGTGCCTGGCCTAATTTATTTTACAAACAGCAAAACCTAAAAACCTCTTAAGATGGTGGCTGCCCCAGGGCTGAGAGGAGTCTCCTTTTGTCATTCTTTTTTTTTCTGGACAATGGGATTATGAGTGTTTTTTTAAATTTATTTTTATTATTTATTTATTATTATTATTTTTTTAATTTACAAAGAACTCAAACAGATTTATAAGAAAAAACAAGCCTATTCAAAAATGGACAAAAGATATGAACAGACACTTTACAAAAGAAGACATATATGAGGCCAACAAACATGAAAAAATGCTCATCATCACTGGTTATTAGAGAGATGCAAATCAAAACCGCATTGAGATACCATCTCACGCCAGTTAGAATGGCAGTCATTGTTTTTTAAAGACATTAAGATTGTCTTCACCCAACCCAGTCTCCATTTCTTAGAGACACACTGCTGTTAAGCCAATCAGAAGCTAGTAAAAAACACAGAAATTTCTGCCCCTTGGATTCTCTAACTGAGCAGAGAAATAGTGAAATTAAAAATAGTGAAAATTTTGTGAAAGATTAAAGTTTTGGCCGGGAGCGGTGGCTCACGCCTGTAATCCCAGCACTTTGGGAGGCTGAGATGGGTGGATCACCTGAGGTCAGGAGTTTGAGACCAGCCTGGCCAACATGGTGACACCCCATCTCTAATAATTTTAAATTAAAACAAAAAAAAAAGATAAAAGTTTTTGTTGTTGTTGCTGTTTTTTTTTTTTTTGAGACGGAGTTTTGCTCTTGTTACCCAGGCTGGAGTGCAATGGCATGATCTCGGCTCACCGCAACCTCTGCCTCCTGGGTTCAGGCAATTCTCCTGCCTCAGTCTCCTGAGTAGCTGGGATTACAGGCACACATCACCACTTTTGGCTAATTTTTGTATTTTTAGTAGAGATAGGGTTTTGCCATGTTGGTCAGGCTGGTCTTGAATACCTGACCTCTGGTTATCCACCCACCTTGGACTCCCAAAGTGCTAGGATTACAGGCATGAGCCACGACACCTAGCCAAAAAATAGTATTTCAAAAGACAAAAATTTTAAGAAAGAAAACTGACCCCAGTTAGATGGTACAAGAACTTACAAAGTGACATGATCCTGGGCCACTCACTGGGGCATAGTGCAGTGTCTCCTGAGAGGGTGGTCATTGAGCACTTAGAACAGGATGGGGTGGGAGAATCTCTCAAGTGATTGGATGGCCATACTTGACACATAAGTCAGACACATCTGTTTTTTAATCAGCATTGCTACTCCCTGGGTTTGTGACATTGAAAACAATTGTTGTTTTCACTTATCTTGACCTCAGTTTTTTAAACTATAAGTTGCATTTCATTAGTAGGGCTTTAAAGGTAAGAAAATATTTACAAAGGTACCTGGGAGCGCTGTCTAATGCTGTAATCTCAGCACTTTGGGAGACCGAGGTGGGTGGATCAGCTGAACTGAGGATTTTGAGACCTATCCAGGCTGAAAGTCCATGAAAGCCCGCCACCATCCTGGCTAATTTTTGTATTTGTAGTAGAGCTGGGTTTTCACCATGTTGTCCAGGCTAGACTGGAACTCCAGATGTCAAGTAATCTGCCTGCCTCAGCCTCTAAAAGTTCTGGGATTACAGGCATGTGCCACCATACCTAGCCCTCATTTACTTTTACAGTTTCTTTTCTGTAGTGAATTAAGGAATTTTTTCAAGTGTGTATTTTTACATCTGTGTCATTACAAATGAAATTCCAAGGCTTAGTTTTTAGAATGCTACCAAGGAAAAGAATAAAAAAAAAACTTTCTATTTTGGCAGTAGAAAATGAATACAGTTCCATAAGAAAATAAGGTAGATAATTGGTGAGTTACATGGATTCATAAAAGCATCAGTTTCTTTTTTTGCAGGGAAAGTTTGTAATAGTGAATATCTCTATTCCTTATCCTGTTATTTTGATTTTTTGATCCTGTTATTTATTTTAGTTTCATGCTAAATTTTATGAGAGTAAACTTGTTACCTCCTAGAAGTGTTCACATATTACTAATTGTTTACTACATGATTTTTTGTGAAACTTATACAATAATACATTTATTGTCTGAAAGGAATACTTTTTTTCTCTTTCTTTTTTAATTTTTTTTTTTTTTTATAGAGTTGGGGTTTCACCATGTTGGCCATGCTGGTCTTGAACTCCTGACCTCTTGTGATCCACCTGCTTCAGCCTCCCAAAGTGCTGGGATTACAGGCGTTAGCCACCGTGCCCAGCCAGGAATAGATACTTTTGCTTTCCTTATTGAAGTATAAAATGTAAGGACCTGAAATTTTTTTTTTTCCCTTGGCCCAAGCGAGTTGGCTCACTCCTGTAATCCCAGCACTTTGGGAGGCCGGGCTGGGCAAATCAAAGGTCAGGGAATTCGAGACCAGCCTGGCCAACGTAGGAAAACCCTGTCGCTACTAAAAATACAAAAACTAGCCAGTCATGGTGGCACATGCCTGTAGTCCCAGCTACTGGGGAGGCTGAGGCAGAAGAATCACTTGAACCCAGGAGGTGAAGATTGCAGTGAGCTGAGATCATGCCACTGCACTCCAGCTTGGGCAATAGAGTGAGACTTCATCTCAACAAAAAATATATTTTTTCTTATATGAGTAATATGTTTGATAATTTTGCTAGATTTTTTTAAACAGTTTCAAAAACTAAGTGAGTAACTCTGTCATAGAAATTAAAGCTTGAGCCCAGTGACTCCAAGCTGAGGTTAATATTGAGCCAGCCAAAATGGTTATTAAAGGCCTAATTCTGTTTTTTTGTTTTTGGGTTGGAGTTTGGCTCTGTCACCCAGGCTGGAGTGCAGTGGTTCCATCTTGGCTCACTGCAACCTCTGCCTCCTGGGTTCAGGCAATTCTCCTGCCTCAGCCTCGTGAGTAGCTGGGATTACAGGCATGCGCCACCATGCCCAGCTAATTTTTTGTATTTTTAGTAGAGATGGGGTCTCACCATGTTGACCAGGATGGTCTCGATCGCTTGACCTCGTGATCCACCTGCCTTGGCCTCCCAAAGTGCTTGGATTACAGGCTTGAGCCACCGCACCCGGCCAAGAAGTATTTATTTTGAAAATTGAAGACAAATTCAGCTGATTTTTTTTTTTTTTTTTTTGAGATGAAGTCTCACTCTTTTGCCCAGGGTGGTGTGCAATGGTGTGATCTCGGCTCAGTGCAATGGCATCTGCCTCCTGGGTTCAAGCGATTCTCCAACTCAGCCTCTCAGGTAGCTGGGATTACAGGCATGTGCCATGATGTCCAGCTAATTTTTTAATATTTTTGTAGAGATAAGGTTTCACCATGTTAGGCAGGCTGGTCTTGAACTACTGACCTCAGGTGATCTGCCCACCTCTGCCTCCCAAAGTTCTGGGATTATAGGCATGAGCCACATCACCTGGCCAAATTCAGCTCATTTTTATATGAGAAAAAGAAGAAAATGTGCAGAGTCTGTATCTGGCTGTATGATCAGTAAAAAAAAGATTGATTGATTTATTTTGTCCTGTACATTTATTCCATTGGCTTTTTCTGGGTTGTATCTTTTATAATTAACTGGTCAACATAACTGTGGTACTTTGCTTGTTCTGTAGTGGCTCTATCAAATCATTGAACTTGGGGGAGGTTATAGGAATCCCCGATGTTTAAACCGTAGCTCAGAAACATAGATGAATCCATTAGGTTTTTTAATGACATCTGCAGTAAGGACAGTATTGTGGGACTGAGCCCTGAATCAGGGTCTGTTCTGACTCTGGATGGTGTCAGAATGCAGATTTTAGACAATACGTTGATGTCGGAGAACCTTGGTGTTCAGCAGACTCTACAGATTTGGTGCCAGAAGAAAACTATCACAAAGGCCCGACCTGGACTGGAACTCTGGGAGGCTCTGCTCTCCTGTCTGTCACACTGCCCATTGTTTATGATTCTAGGTCTCCTCCCAGGGTGAGAGAGGACTGAAACCTTAAGGGACAGAAGCTCTGATAGCAGATTCCCTTTTTCCACAGCTGCCAGCACAGGATTTCTACCCACTCACAAACACGCACTAGACATTGAGGTATCTACACCACACCCAGGGCTAGACATCACACTCAGGAATTTTACCACAGCATTTTTGATCCTAGTGTTTCTTGCCAAAACCCTACGAAAGTGTCTACAAGTCTCCTGGCGTATCCCCACCCCCAGGCACTGAATCTGCAGCAGCAACCTGTTTTCACCAACCAGAAGCAACCTAGGGTTCTGGACCACCTGTTCATAATCTTGGCCTGTATGAAACCAGAAATAAATGAGTCACACCCGGGTTACTGTCTGTACCACACACCAGTCCTGTCGCCTACATTGCACACTCCCAAACGCATGAGTTTTTTTTCCTTATTTTTTGTTCATGGGTACACATGCAGCTTTGTTATACAGGTAAAATTGTGTCATGGGCATTTGATATGCAGATTATATTGTCACTGAGATAGTAAACATTGCACCAAACAGGTATTTTTTTGTGATCTTTTTATCCTCCCACCCTCCACCATTAACTAGCCCTCAGTGTCTGTTGTTCTCTTTGTGTCTGTGTGTTCTTATTATTTAGCTCTTACTTATAAATGGTAACATTTATTTATTTTGTTTTTTTTGAGAGGAGTTTCGCTCTTGTTACCCAGGCTGGAGTGCAATGGTGTGATCTCTCGGCTCACTGCAACCTCTGCCTCCTGGGTTCAGGCAATACTCCTGCCTCAGCCTCCTGAGTAGCTGGGATTACAGACACGTGCCACCATGCCCAGCTAATTTTTTGTATTTGTAGTAGAGATAGGGTTTCACCATGTTGATCAGGATGGTCTTGATCTCTTGACCTCGTGAACCACCTGCCTCGGCCTTCCAAAGTGCTGGGATTACAGGCTTGAGCCACCACACCTGACAACATTTAGTATTTTGTCTTTACATTAGTTTTCTAAAAATAATGATCTCTAGTTCCATCCATCATGCTACAAAGGACATGATTTTGTTTTCTTTCTTTTTATGACCACATAGTATTCTATGATGCTTATGTACCATATTTTGTTTTTATTAAATCTTTTATTTAGTTCATTTATATTTGAAGAAAGGGTCTTTAACACAGGCTGAAGTAGAGTGGTGTGATCTAGGCTCAATGCAGCCTCAATCTCCTGAGCTCAAGCAGTCCTCTTACCTTAGTTCCCCTAGTAGCTGGGACTATAGTCACATGCCATCACACCCATGAGTTTTTTTCTGTTTCTGTATATATATATATATATATATATATATATATATATATATTTTTTTTTTTTTTTTTTGAGACATGCCCAGCTAATTTTTTTTTTTTTTGGGTGGGGGGGGAGGAAGGCAGGAAGGGAGAGAAGAAGGACGGTAGGGAGGAAGGAAGGGATGAAGGAAGGCAGGAAGGGAGGAAGCGGGGAGGGAGGGAGGGAAGGGAATCAAGCAATGAGAGAGACATTGTCGACCTCGATCTAGAGGTTTACAAGTTGATTTCTTTTTTTTTTTGAGAGAAAGAAAGAAAAAAAAATTAAGAGGAAGAAAGAGGAAAAGAAAGAGGGAGAGTAAATGGAAATATTGCTTTATTTTGAAAAAAAATGGGTATTAATAATGGCCCATCAATGTTTCATTTAAACTTATGGGTAGGTGTGGTGTGGTATTGACTAAAATGTATATTTTGTGTATTTAAAGTGGAGAGCTCTATAAATATTTATTAAGTTTACTTGTTCCAGGTCTGAGTTTGAGTCCTTGATATCCTTATTAATTTTCTGTCTCATTGAATCTAAGTCTCATATCTGGATGTTAGGATCATTAGCTCTTGTTGTTGCATTGATCCTTTTACCACTGTATCTTTGTTGCTTTAAAATCTATTTTATCTGATACGGGAATTGCAACTCCTGCTTTTTATTTATTTATTATTTATTTTTGCTCTCCATTTGGTTGGTAAATCTTTCTCCATTTCTTTGTTTTGAGTCTTTGTGTATCCTTGCATGTGAAACAGGTCTGGATGTAACATGCCATTGGGTTTTGGCTGTGTCTTTTGATTAGGGGATTTAGTCAATTTAAATTTAGGTTACTGCCATTTGATGTTGACCGGCTGTTTTATCCATTCGTTGGTGTAAATTCTTCTTTATGTTGGTGCTCTTTACTTTTTGGTGTATTTTTAGAAAGGCTAATACTGGTTATTTCTTTCTGTGTGTAATGCTTCTTTCAGAAGCTCTTGTAAAGCAGGCCTGGTGGTAATAAAATCTCTGAGTTCTTGCTTGTTCATAAAAGATTTTATTTTTCCTTCAGTTGTGAAGTTTAGTTTGGCTGGATATGAAATTCTGGGCTGAAGGTTCTGTTCTTTGAGGATGTTGAATATTGGCCCCCACTCTCTTCTGGCTTGTAGAGTCTCTGCTGAGAGATCTGCTGTAAGTCTGATAGGCTTGCCTTTGTGGGTAACCTGACCTCTCTCTCTGGCTGCCCTTAGTATTTTCTCCTTCGTTTCAACCCTGGTGAATCTAACGATTATGTGACTTGGGGTTGCTCTTCTTGAGGAATATCTTTGTGGTGTTCTCTGTATCACCTGGGGTTGAATGTTGACCTGCTTTGCTAGTTTAGGAAAATTTTCCTGAATAATATCCTGAAGGGTATTTTCCAGCTTGGATTCATTCTCTCCGTCGCATTCAGGTACACCTATCAAACGTAAATTTGGTCTTTTCACATAGTCCCACATTTCTTGGAGACTTTGCTCATTCCTTTTTATCCTTTTTTCTCTAATCTTTTCTTCACGTTTTATTTCATTAAGTTGGACTTTGACCTCTGATATCCCTTCTTCTGCTTGAACAATTCGAGTGTTTAAACCTGTGCATACTTCTCGGAGTTCCTGTATTGTATTCTTCAGTTCAATTAATTCACTCATACTCCTCTCTAAGTTGTGTATTCTCAATAGGAGTTCATCAAACCTTTTTTCAAAGTTCCTAGTTTCTTTACGTTGGGCTACAACATGTTTTTTTAACTCACCGAAGTTTGTTATTATCCATTCCCTTGAAGAGTGATTCTATCATCAGGAGGCACTCGTTCTCCATCAAGCCTTGTTCCATTGTTGATGTGGAACTGTGATCATCTTTAGAGGGAGAAGCGTTCTGACTTTGAGTATTCTCAGCTTTTTTACGCTGGTTTCTTCCCGTCATTGTAAATTTATCCTCCTGTCGTCTTTGAAATTACCAACTTTCAGATTAGGTCTCTTGAGTGGAAGTCCAGGTTGTTAGTTCCCAGGGCCAGAGCAGTGGCGTTAAGACTGATGGTGCTTTTCTGCCCAGGATTCTCCTGTCTGGCTTCCTTCTTGTTTCCGTAGTAGGCGACTCTGCCTTCCCGGGGCTCCAAACCTCGGTCAGAAGGGGAACCAGTCCCGTTTACTCTGCGCTGAGCGCTCCCGTGCCGAGGTGCTGTCACAGCCGCTGCGCGGGGCTCTGGTGTCCTGCTGGGGACCCGTGTGGGTCCTTCGAACCTGTTTACTCTGCTCCGTGATCTGCCGCGCCGAGGTGCCCGCGGAACCGTTGCGCCGGCCACGAGAGTCACGCTGGCCACTTGTGTGTTTCCTCCACTGGGGCATCTTCTGCTCCGTGAGCGACCAGAGTTTGTCTGAAAGTGTGGCGTCCTCTAGTTCTCCACGCCTTCCCTGAGAGCTGCAATCCCGGGATGTTAGTGATTGGCCATCTTGGATTGTTCTCCCTAATTTTTGTATTTTTAGTAGAGACAGGGTTTCACCATGTTTGCCAGGCTGGTCTCGAACTCCTGACCTTGTTATCTACCCACCTCAGCCTCCCAAAGTGCTGGAATTACAGGCGTCAGCCACCACGCCTGGTCCCTTTGCCTACTTTTTAGTGAGGTTTTTTTTTTTTTAATTTCTTAAGTTTTTTATGATAGGATATTAGACCTTTTTCAGAAGCATAGTTTGAAAAGTTTTGTTTTATTCTGTACAGAATGTGTGTGTGTGTGTGTGTGTGTGTGTGTGTGTGTGTGTGTGGGTGTATATATATATATGTAAACCTACAGAATACATACATATTTTTTATGAGATGGAGTCTCACCCTGTTGCCCAGGCTGGAGTGCAATGGTGTGATCTTGGCTCACTGCAACCTCCACCTCCTGGGTTCAAGCAGTTCTGCCTCAGCCTTCTGAGTAGCAGGATTACAGGCACACACCCCCATGCCCAGCTAATTGTTTTTTTTGTATCTTGAGTAGAGTTGGGCTTTCACCATGTTGGCCCGGCTGGTCTCAAGCGCCTAATCTTGTGATTTCCCTCAACTCAGCCTCCCAAAGTGCTGGGAGGTGTGAGCCACCAGTGATTTTTTTATTTTATTGTTTATTTTTGCTATGAAAAAGCTCTTTAGTTTAATTAGGTTCTGTTTGTCAGTTTTTGCTTTTGTTGCAACTGCTTTTCATATCTTCATTATGAAGTCTCTGCCAATTTCTGTCTAAAATAGTATTTTCTAAGTCATCTTCCAGAGTTGTTGTTTTTTTTTTAATTTAAGGTTTACATTTAAGTCTTTAACCAGTCTTTCTTACTTGAGATAGAGTTTTGCTCTTGTCACCCCAGCTGGAGTTCAGTGGAATGATCACAGCTGACTGCACCCTCTGCCTTCTGGCTTCAAGTGATTCTCCTACCTCCACCTCCAGAGTAGCTGGGATTACAGGTGCCTGCCACCACACCCAGCTGTTTCTTGTATTTTTAGTAGAGATGTGGTTTCACCATGTTGGCCAGGCTGGTCTCGAACTCCTGACTTAAGGCGATTTGCCTGCCTCAGCCTCCCAAAGTGCTGGGATTACAGGCACACGCCACCATGCCCAGCTAATTTTTTTTGTATTTAGTAGAGACGGGGTTTCATCTTGTTGACCAGGATAGTCTCAATCTCTTGACCTCATGATCCACCCGCCTTGGCCTCCGAAAGTGCTGGGATTACAGGCGTGAGCCACCGCACCCGGCCCGTCTGTTTATTCTTAAAAGATATGAAGGTCACTTTGGGAGGTTAAGGTGGGCAGATCACTTGAGGTAAAAAGTTTGAGACCAGTCTAGTCTACATGGTGAAACCTTGTCTCTACTAAAAATACATAGATTAGTTGAGCATGGTGGTACACACCTGTAGTACCAGCTACTCAGAAGGCCGAGGCAGGAGAATTGCTTGAACCTGGACGTGGAGGTTGCAAACCTGAGCCAAGATTGCACCACTGCGCTTCAGCCTGGGCATCAGAGTGACACCCCGTTTAAAAAATAAATAAATAGGGGCAGGCGGGATGGGTCATGCCTATAATCCCAGCACATTGGGAGGCTGAGGCAAGTGGATCACGAGGTCAGGAGTTCAAGACTAGCCTGGCCAACATGGTAAAACCCTATTTCTACAAAAATACAAAAATTAGCTGGGCATGGTGGCACACACCTGTAAGCCCAGCTACTGAGGAGGCTGAGGCAGGGGAATTGCTTAAACACAGGAGACAGAGGTTTAAGTGAGCCGAGATCATGCCACTCTGTTCCAGCCTGATGACAGAATGAGACTCCATCTAAAAAAAAATGAAATAAAATTAAAAAAAAGAAGGTATGAAGGTTATATGGGTGAATTTATTTGCCAAAAATTTTCAGTTAGAATTAGTGCCTCCTAACATATGTATATGTTATGTATATGTTCACCAGTGATATAACTGTATACCTAGGAAACCCTAAATACTCACCTAAAAAGCTTTCAGGGCTGGGTTCAGTGGCCCAAGTCTGTAATTCCAGCATTTGGGAGGCCGAGGCAGGTGGATCACCTGAGATCAGGAGTTCAAGACCAGCCTGTCTAACATGGTGAAACCCTGTCTATGCTAAAAATACAAAAATTAGCTGGGTATGGTGGCGGGTGCCTGTAATCCAAGCTACTAGGGAGGCTAAGGCAAAAAAATTACTTGAACCCAGGAGGTGGAGGTTGCAGTGAGCTGAGATTTTGCCACTGGACTCCAGCCTGGGAGACAGAGTAACACCCTATCTCAAAAAAAAAAAAAAAGCTTTTAGCTACATAAGTTCAGTAAAATGTTAGGATACAAAATCAATATGTGCAAATTAGTGGAACTGTTGTACACTAACAGTGACCAAACCAAGAATTAAGAACTCAACTCATTTAAAAATAGCAGCAAAAAAATTAAATAATTAGAAATATATCTAACCATGGTGGTGAAAGCTATGACATGTTGCTAAAGAAATCATAGACAGCACAACAAATGGAAACACATTCCATGCTTATGGATGGGTAGGGTCAATATTGTGACAATGATCAACCTAGCAAAGGCAATCTACAAATTCAATGTAATTCCCATCAAAATAACATCATTCTTCACAGAACTAAAAAATAAAAATCCTAAAAAAAAATATATATATATATATATATAAAGCCTGCATAGTCAAAGCAAGACTAGGAAAAAAAACATAATAAACCCCCAACAAAGCCAAAAGCATACCAAAAAAAAAAAAAAAAAAAAAATTAAAGGCATCACATTATCAGACTTCGCCACTATACTACAAGGCTATAGTTACCAAAACAGCATTGTATGAGTATAAAAATTCATATGTAGACCAATGAAACAAAATAGGAAAACTGGAAATAATCCCAAATACTCAACAGCCAACTGATCTTTGACAAAGTAAACAAAGATAAAAGTGAAGAAAAGACACCCTGTTCAATAAATGGTGCTGGGATAACTGGCAAGCCACGTACTGTAGAATAAAACTGGATCTTCATCTCTCACTTCATACAAAAATCAACTCAAGATGGATCAAATACTTATGCCTGACACTATACAAATTCTAGAACATAACATTGGAAAAACTCTTCTAGACATTGACTTAGGCAAAGAGTGCATGACCAAGATCCCCAAAACAAATGCAACAAAAACAAAGACAGATGGGACTTAAACAGTTCTCAAAAGAATTTGTACAAATAGCCAACAAACAGAAAAAAAATGCTGAACATCACTAATGATTAGTGATCAGGGAAATGCAAATCAAAAGCACAATGTGATACCACCTTACTCTTGCAGAGTGACCATAATTGACCAGGCATGGTGGCTCATGCCTGTAATCCCAGCACTTTGGGAGGCCGAGGTGGGTGGATCACCTGAGGTCAGGAGTTCAAGAGCAGTCTGGCTAACGTGGTGAAACCCCGTCTTTATAAATAAAAATAAATAAAATAAAAAATAATTATATAATGAACTCTGGGCACTCAGCAGAAAGGGGAAGGGATAAAAGACTATACGTTGGGTACAGTGTACAGTGCTTGGGAAATGGGTACACCAAAATCTCAGAAATTACCACAAAAGAACTTTCTGTACCCCCAAACTATTCAAATAATAATTTAAATATAAACAAAAAACCCCCCCCGAAACCCCCATAAGTTTACATGCTTTACCTTTATTTATTTATTTATTTATTTATTTTAGAAAGGGTCTCACTCTGTCATCCAGAATGGAGTACAATGGCGTGATCAGGGCTCACTGTAGCTGCAACCTCCTGGGGTCAGGCAGTCCTACTATTAGCTCCTGAATAGCTTGGTACTACAGGTACAGGCCACCATGCTAAGCTAATTTTTGTATTTTTTGTGGACGTGGGTTTTTGCCATGTTGCCCAGGCTGGTCTTGAATTCCTGGGCTTACACAGGCTTCATGTCTTGGTCTCCCAAAATGCTGGGATTATAAGCAGAGCCACCATGTCTGACCAGAATGCTTTTGTTATATGATACGGAAAACAAAACATGGCTGGGCGTAGTGGCTCACGCCTATAATCCAAGCACTTTGGAGGCCAAGGTGGGTGGATCACCTGAGGTCGGGGGTTCAAGACCTGCCTGACCAATATGGTGAAACCCCATCTTTAAAAAAAACAAAAAACAAAATATATTTAGATCTGTTAGTTAACCAAAAAATTGAAAAAAATATTTTATTAAAATACACACACACACACACACACACACACACACACACACACACACACAGAGTTTGTGACGGAGTCTTGCTCTCTCACCCAGGCTGGGGTGTAGTGGCGCAATCTTGGCTCACTGCAACTTCCCCCTCCCGGGTTCAAGCTAAAAAAAGTTTAAATTATAGAAACTCCAATTTAAGTTCCATTAAATAACCTTAAAAAAAAAGAACTGAAGGCCGAGTACGGTGGCTCACACCTGTAATCCCAGCACTTTGGGAGGCCATGGTGGGCGGATCACCTGAGGTTGGGAGTTCCAGACCAGCCTGACCAACATGAAGAAACCCCGTCTTTACTAAAAATATAAAATTAGCTGAGTGTGGTGTGCATGGCTATAATCCGAGCTACTCAGGAAGCTGAGGCAGGAGAATTGCTTGAACCCAGGAGGTGGAAGTTGCAGTGAGCTGAGATTGCACCATTGCACTCCAGCCTAGGCAACAAGAGTGAAACTGCATCTCAAAAACAAACAAAAAAACCAAACCCTGAAAGTACTCCCCAGTGGCATAGAGCACAGAATTCTACACTGGCTGTACACCCTGACCCAGGCTTGTTCATATTCAACCTTTCTGGAGGCCTTATTTATGTCTGGCTCTACCCTGGAGTTTTGCCTCACAGAACTGATTAGAAGAGATCAGAGTTTTGGGTCATGAATCCTGTTGCTTAGAGCTGGTGCTCGACATTTTTTGAAACCCAAAAGCAGATAAATGGAAAACATAAAGTATGTATTACAGGATTTTACTTTTTTTTTTTTTTTTTTTTTTAATTTTTTATTGGATTATAGGTTTTGGGGTACATGAGCAGAGCATGCAAGACAGTTGCGTAGGTACACACATGGCAGTGTGCTTTGCTTTTCTTCTCCCCTTCACCCACATTTGGCATTTCTCCCCAGGCTATCCCTCCCCACCTCCCCCTCCCACTGGCCCTCCCCTTTTCCCCCCAATAGACCCCAGTGTTTAGTACTCCCCTTTCTGTGTCCATGTGTTCTCATTTTTCATCACCCACCTATGAGTGAGAATATGCGGTGTTTCATTTTCTGTTCTTGTGTCAGTTTGCTGAGGATGATGTTCTCGAGATTCATCCATGTCCCTACAAACGACACAAACTCATCATTTCTGATTGCTGCATAATATTCCATGGTGTATATGTGCCACATTTTTCCAATCCAGTTTATTATCAATGGGCATTTGGGTTGATTCCAGGTCTTTGCTATTGTAAACATTGCTGCAATGAACATTCGTTTACATGTGTCTTTATAGTAGAACGATTTATAGTCTTTTGGATATATACCCAGTAATGGGATTGCTGGGTCAAATGGAATTTCTATTTCTAAGGCCTTGAGGAATCGCCACACTGTCTTCCACAATGGTTGAACTAATTTACACTCCCACCAACAGTGTAAAAGTGTTCCTTTTTCTCCACATCCTCTCCAGCATCTGTTGTCTCCAGATTTTTTAATGATCGCCATTCTAACTGGCGTGAGATGGTATCTCAATGTGGTTTTGATTTGCATCTCTCTGATGACCAGTGACGATGAGCATTTTTTCATATGATTGTTGGCCTCATATATGTCTTCTTTCGTAAAGTATCTGTTCATATCCTTTGCCCACTTTTGTATGGGCTTGTTTGTTTTTTTCCTGTAAATCTGTTTGAGTTCTTTGTAAATTCTGGATATCAGCCCTTTGTCAGATGGGTAGACTGCGAAAATTTTTTCCCATTCTGTTGGTTGCCGATCCACTCTAGTGACTGTTTCTTTTGCCGTACAGAAGCTGTGGAGTTTCATTAGGTCCCATTTGTTTATTTTGGCTTTTGTTGCCAATGCTTTTGGTGTTTTGTTCATGAAGTCCTTGCCTACTCCTATGTCCAGGATGGTTTTGCCTAGATTTCCTTCTAGGGTTTTTATGGTGCCAGGTCTTATGTTTAAGTCTTTAATCCATCTGGAGTTAATTTTAGTTTAAGGTGTTAGGAAGGGGCCCAGTTTCTGCTTTCTGCACATGGCTAGTCAGTTTTCCCAACACCATTTGTTAAACATGGAATCCTTTCCCCATTGCTTGTTTTTGTCAGGTTTATGAAAGATTGTATAGTTGTATGTATGTTGTGTTGCCTCCGGTGCCTTTGTTTTGTTCCACTGGTCTATATCTCTGTTTTGGTACCAGTACCATGCTGTTTTGATTACTGTAGCCTTGTAGTATAGTTTGAAATCCGGTAGTGTGATGCCCCCCGCTGTGTTCTTTTTGCTTAGAATTGACTTGGCTATGCGGGCTCTCTTTTGGTTCCATATGAAGTTCATGGTGGTTTTTTCCAGTTCTGTGAAGAAAGTCAATGGTAGCCTGATGGGGATAGCGTTGATTCTGTAAATTACTTTGGGCAGTATAGCCATTTTCACGATATTAATTCTTCCTAACCATGAACATGGAATGTTTCTCCATCTGTTTGTGTCCTCTCTGATTTCGTTGAGCAGTGGTTTGTAGTTCTCCTTGAAGAGGTCTCTTACGTTCCTTGTCAGTTGTATTCCAAGGTATTTTATTCTTTTTGTAGCAATTGTGAATGGCAGTTCGCTCTTGATTTGGCTTTCTTTAAGTCTGTTATTGGTGTAGACGAATGCTTGTGATTTTTGCACATTGATTTTATATCCTGAGACTTTGCTGAAGTTGCTTATCAGTTTCAGGAGTTTTTGGGCTGAGGCAATGGGGTCTTCTAGGTATACTATCATGTCGTCTGCAAATAGAGACAATTTGGCTTCCACCTTTCCTATTTGAATACCCTTTATTTCTTTTTCTTGCCTGATTGCTCTGGCTAGAACTTCCAGTACTATATTGAATAGGAGTGGTGAGAGAGGGCATCCTTGTCTAGTGCCAGATTTTAAAGGGAATGCTTCCAGTTTTTGCCCATTCAGTATGATATTGGCTGTTGGTTTGTCATAAATAGCTTTTATTACTTTGAGATACGTTCCATCGATACCGAGTTTATTGAGGGTTTTTAGCATAAAGGGCTGTTGAATTTTGTCAAATGCCTTCTCTGTGTCAATTGAGATAATCATGTGGTTTTTGTTTATGGTTCTGTTTATGTGGTGAATTACGTTGATAGACTTGCATATGCTGAACCAGCCTTGCATCCCCAGGATGAATCCTACTTGATCATGATGGATAAGTTTCTTGATTTGCTGTTGCAATTGGCTTGCCAATATTTTATTGAAGATTTTTGCATCTATGTTCATCATGGATATTGGCCTGAAGTTTTCTTTTCTTGTTGGGTCTCTGCCCGGTTTTGGTATCAGGATGATATTGGTCTCATAGAATGATTTGGGAAGGATTCCTTCTTTTTGGATTATTTGGAATAGTTTCAGAAGGAATGGTACCAGCTCCTCCTTGTGTGTCTGGTAGAATTCGGCTGTTAACCCGTCTGGACCTGGGCTTTTTATGTGTGGTAGGCTCTTAATTGCTGCCCCAACTTCAGACGTTGTTATTGGTCTATTCATAGTTTCAGCTTCTTCCTGGTTTTGGCTTGGGAGGACACAGGAGTCCAGGAATTTAGCCATTTCTTCCAGGTTTACTAGTTTATGCACATAGAGTTGTTTGTAATATTCTCTGATGATGGTTTGAATTTCTGTGGAATCTGTGGTGATTTCCCCTTTATCATTTTTTATTGCATCTATTTGGTTGTTCTCTTTTTTTCTTTTTAATCAATCTGGCTAGTGGTCTGTCTATTTTGTTGATCTTTTCAAAAAACCAGCTCTTGGATTTATTGATTTTTTGAAGGGTTTTTCGTGTCTCAATCTCCTTCAGCTCAGCTCTGATCTTAGTTATTTCTTGTCTTCTGCTGGGTTTTGAGTTTTTTTGATCTTGCTCCTCTAGCTCTTTCAATTTTGACGATAGGGTGTCAATTTTGGATCTCTCCATTCTCCTCATATGGGCACTTATTGCTATATACTTTCCTCTAGAGACTGCTTTAAATGTGTCCCAGAGGTTCTGGCACGTTGTGTCTTCGTTGTCATTGGTTTCGAAGAACTTCTTTATTTCTGCCTTCATTTCGTTGTTTACCCAGTCAACATTCAAGAGCCAGTTGTTCAGTTTCCATGAAGCTGTGCGATTCTGGGTCGGTTTCTGAATTCTGAGTTCTAACTTGATTGCACTATGGTCTGAGAGGCTGTTTGTTATGATTTCAGTTGTTTTGCATTTGTTGAGCAGTGCTTTACTTCCAATTATGTGGTCAATTTTAGAGTAGGTGTGATGTGGTGCTGAGAAGAATGTGTATTCTGTGGATTTGGGGTGGAGAGTTCTGTAAATGTCTATCAGGTTTGCTTGCTCCAGGTCTGAGTTCAAGCCCTGGTTATCCTTGTTGATTTTCTGTCTGGTTGATCTGTCTAATATTGACAGTGGAGTGTTAAAGTCTCCCACTATTATTGTGTGGGAGTCCAAGTCCTTTTGTAAGTCCTTAAGAACTTGCCTTATGTATCTGGGTGCTCCTGCATTGGGTCCATATATGTTTAGGATCGTTAGCTCTTCTTGTTGTATTGATCCTTTTACCATTATGTAATGGCCTTCTTTGTCTCTTTTGATCTTTGTTGCTTTAAAGTCTATTTTATCAGAGATGAGAATTGCAACTCCTGCTTTTTTTTGCTCTCCATTAGCTTGGTAAATCTTCCTCCATCCCTTTATTTTGAGCCTTTGTGTATCCTTGCATGTGAGATGGGTTTCCTGGATACAGCACACTGATGGGTTTTGGATTTTTATCCAATTTGCCAGTCTGTGTCTTTTGATTGGTGCATTTAGTCCATTTACATTTAGGGTTAGTATTGTTATGTGTGAATTTGATACTGCCATTTTGATGCTAAGTGGCTGTTTTGCCTGTTAGTTGTTGTAGATTCTTCATTATGTTGAAGCTCTTTAGCATTCAATGTGATTTTGGAATGGCTGGTACTGGTTGATCCTTTCTATGTGTAGTGCCTCTTTTAGGAGCTCTTGTAAAGCAGGCCTGGTGGTGACAGAATCTCTGAGTACTTGCTTGTTCACAAAGGATTTTATTTTTCCTTCACTTCTGAAGCTCAGTTTGGCTGGATATGCAATTCTGGGTTGAAAGTTCTTTTCTTTAAGAATGTTGAATATTGGCCCCCACTCTCTTCTGGCTTGTAGTGTTTCTGCCGAGAGATCTGCTGTGAGTCTGATGGGCTTCCCTTTGTGGGTGACCCGACCTTTCTCTCTGGCTGCCCTTAGTATTCTCTCCTTTATTTCAACCCTGTTGAATCTGACGATTATGTGCCTTGGGGTTGCTCTTCTTGCGGAATATCTTTGTGGTGTTCTCTGTATTTCCTGCAATTGAGTGTTGGCCTGTCTTGCTAGGTGGGGGAAATTTTCCTGGATGATGTCCTGAAGAGTATTTTCCAGCTTGGATTCATTCTCATCGTCCCCTTCTGGTATACCTATCAAACGTAGGTTAGGTCTTTTCACATAGTCCCACATTTCTTGGAGACTTTGTTCATTCCTTTTTGCGCTTTTTTTCTCTGATCTTGGTTTCTCGTTTTATTTCATTGAGTTGGTCTTCGACTTCAGATATTCTTTCTTCTGCTTGGTCAATTCGGCTATTGAAACTTGTGTTTGCTTCGCGAAGTTCTCTTATTGTGTTTTTCAGCTCCTTTAATTCATTCATATTCCTCTCTAAGTTATCCATTCTTGTTATCATTTCCTCGAATCTTTTTTTAAGGTTCTTAGTTTCTTTGCATTGATTTAATACATGATCTTTTAGCTCACAAAAGTTTCTCATTATCCATCTTCTCAAGTCTAATTCCGTCATTTCGTCACAGTAATTCTCCGTCCAGCTTTTTTCTCTTGCTGGTGAGGAGTTTTGGTCCTTTCTAGGAGGTGAGGTGTTCTGGTTTCGGGTGTTTTCCTCCTTTTTGCGCTGGTTTCTTCCCATCTTTGTGGATTTGTCCGCTGGTCGTCTGCGCAGTTGCTGACTTTTCGATTGGGTCTCTGAGTGGACACCCAGAATGTTGATGATGAAGTATTTCTGTTGCTTGGTTTTCCTTCTACCAGTCTAGCCCCTTCGCTGTACGACTGCTGAGGTCCGCTCCAGACCCTGCTTGTCTGGGGTGCACCTCTAGCAGCTGTGGCACAGCGAGGGATGCTACCAGTTTCTTTTTCTGCTATCTTTGTCCCAGGATGATGCCTGCCTAATGTCAGTCTTTTGGATATAGAGGGGTCAGGGAGCTGCTTGAGGCTTAATTGCTGAGCTGTGCGCTCTATTGTTTATTCAGGGCTGCTAGGCTGCTATGTTTGATTCTGCTGCCACAGAGCTCATTAAAAAACCCTTTTTTTTTTTTTTTCTCAAATGCTGTGTTGAGGGGTTTGGGCTTTATTTTTGGATGTTCGATGAGGTGTCCTGCCCAGCTAGAAGGCAGACTAGCAACTGTTTGGCTGCCAAGGCTCCACCCTGCTGTTGTGTGATTCGCCCTGTTCCTGCAGGCTCTGCTGTGGTCTCCGCCATGCCCTCCGGTGCAGACTCTTCGTTGTAGCGTGTTGCCTCGGCAACGGCAGGCTGCGTCAGCAGTGTGCGTGTATCTCAGTAGGGACGGGTTGCCTCGGCAACGGCTGGCTGCGTCAGCAGTGGGCGTGTATCTCAGTTGGGGCGGGTTGCCTCGGTAGTGGTGGACGCCCCTCCCCCACAGAGCGTCTCGGACCGTCTGCTCGGGATAGTTTGAAATCACGGTTTTGTTCGTCCCACTGGGTATCCCAAACGATCTGTCCTTGCAATCCCCTGGGCTGGACTACTGTCCAAGTCTCGTTCAGTCTCAAGTCCAGCCCTCTCAAGTCTCAGGTTGCCGGTTCAACAGCGCACCCGGACGAGCGCGCCCTGTGGGGATTGCTGGGTAGGGCCGGCCACCGCCGCCCCGGCTGCCAGCTTCGCCAGGCAGACCTACTGCCTGGCGTCCGGTGTCTTTTTATACTTGGGAGTTTCCCCGTTCTGTGGGCAACAAAGATCGGTCTGGAAATGCAGCTCTGACTCACCGTTTGCGGATTCAACGCAAGCTCCAATCCTGGGTTGTTCTCACAGCGCCATCTTGAGTCCTCCAGGATTTTACTTCTTAAATTTTTTATTAAAACCAGTGCTTGCAGAGACATTTCATTTAGCAACTTGTTTGTTCCCTAAGATCTAGTAATTGATTCACAAGTCACAAGAAAGTAAATACAAATTTATCTAAATTGCATTAAACTTTTCTTCTGTATCTTTCATCTGTCTATATTTAGCTTTTATTCTATGCATGTTTTTGAAAAAAATTAATGACAAACAGAAATAGAAATAAAAATGCTGGGGTCTTTAAAGCCTTGGAATTATTGAACACTTATTATCATCCCACAGGGTATTAGTTATAGTCACATAACGTGCTATTGCAGTGCTCTGTAACATCCTATTGTGCACATAGTACCTGCTAAATAAACATTGCTTTAGTACATGTGCATATGTTGTTTTTCAATGCAGACTTACTCAGAAATTGCCGCTTTCTGTTTTCTCCGTAAGCTTTAAAGAGTCAGCAAAGAATGTAATACTTGTTATTTTTTATTTTTTTATAAGACGGGGTTTCACCAAGTTGGTCAGGCTGGTCTTGAACTCCCGACCTCAGGTGATCTGCCCGCCTTGGCCTGCAAAGTGTTTGGATTGAATGTAATGCTTTCTGATGAAGAATTATTTCTTTTGTACCAGAAGTATTTGTGTTGTGACAAGAGTGCTGAGTGTAAGGGACTCTGTGCTGTGTCTCATTTCTCTGACTAATGCTAATAAGCCCAGCAGGAGCAACATCATTATCAACAGGGCACTTGTTTAAAAGACTCATTTATGGACCCTTACCATACCTGCAGAATTACATTTCATAGAGTGGGGCCAAAATTACCAGGTGATTTATAAGCTCATTAGAGCTTGAGAGGAAATGCTTAGTTAAGGGTTTATCAGCCTTGGTTCTAATTAGTATCACCTGGCCATTTTGCAGAACTCTCCTTACTTGTGTCCTTGCCATGGATTCTGTTTATTGCTCTGGGCAGAAGCATCCATGTTGTTTTAATTAAGTGCCTTGTGTGACTCTAAGGTGAGGCCAGAATCAAGTATGAGGAATTCAAAATACATTTATGAGAGTTACGTTCCCTCTTTGCATTAAAGGGTAGTCCTAGAACCTGTTCCGTTTGGATTTGGTAGGGACAGGACAGTGTGGCTCATATTTCCATTACTGTAGCGGAAATTACTGGTGTCTGCGTCAGGTGATGGCTCCTGAAGACAAAAATAGAGAAACATTTTTATCTCTATGGAGCAGCTCATTGTTTCTGAATCTCTTCTGCTATAAAGGATGGAAATGGGTGGAGTTTTTCTGCCTTCGTTCTTCTGCCTGTGGCTGTGGTGACAGCAGGTAGATCTGTGGTGCTTACACCTTTAAAGGCATATTCTCAAGATGGAGGTGTAATTTGTCCAGATAATTTTTTTTTTTTTTTTTGAGATGGAGTTTCGCTCTTGTTACCAGGCTGGAGTGCAATGGCGCGATCTCGGCTCACCACAACCTCCGCTTCCTGGGTTCAGGCAATGAGGCCAGGCGTGGTGGCTCAAGCCTGTAATCCCAGCACTTTGGGAGGCCGAGGCGGGTGGATCACGAGGTCAGGAGATCGAGAACCATTCTGGTCAACATGGTGAAACCCCGTCTCTACTAAAAATACAAAAAATTAGCTGGGCATGGTGGCGTGTGCCTGTAATCCCAGCTTCTCAGGAGGCTGAGGCAGGAGAATCGCTTGAACCCAGGAGTCGGAGGTTGCGGTGAGCCAAGATCGTGCCATTGCACTCCAGCCTGGGTAACAAGGGCGAAACTCCGTCTCAAAAAAAAAAAAATTAGATAAATAAGAAAAAATAACAACCCCCCGCAAAAAAATTCTTAACGATAGTCAAAGTCTCTGAAAAATATTTTATCTATATACCAGAGCCTTCTTTCTCTACATTATGGCTTCTTATATGCCATGCAGAAATGTCACCATGAATTTATAATCTGCAATATTAAAAATGTTCTCTTTGTAGCTGTTGAACATAGGAAGGTGTGGATACTCAAGATTCCTATTGGGAAAAACCTGGGGTTTTTGGTGAAGATAGAGAACATGTAATGTTGAGGTTTCATTTGTGTTCTTTATTGTGTCTATGCAGTGCAGGATTAAGAAAATGCTCACTGAAGCAGTATGGTATTTATTACCCAGAAAGTTCTAAAAAGTTATGAGGAGATACCTGCTCTCTAGGGTGCTAAAGAAAGACTATTTAAAATCACTATGAAAAATTACAGAACATAGGAGAGACCTGCAGTTTCCATAAAACTGATGTTTCCTTATGGTGAAGTTTAGATTATAATTTACTTTAGGGAGGGCAATATCTCAGAAGTAATGCTTGTCCTTCTGGGCGCATCAGCACATCATAAACATTTTTTCTAATGCATTTGATGTTAATAAATCACTTGGTTGATAAGCGCTGACAGATTTTTTTCACTATAGAATTAATTATTTTTCTCTTTATCATTAAGTATCTTTATGCAGCTGATGTGAATAAACCATCACATTTAATCTGGCAGGTACCCTTCTTTCTTAGGTTTCCTTTGCATTTATCTGTTTTAGGAAAATGAAGGCTCCCATCTTTATTTACAGGCCAGAAAAAGTGAGAAAAACACAGACTCATTAAATTACAGACTGATAAAATAGTCTTTTTGGGACAAAAACATTGGCATACTGATGAGCTGGTTAGAAATTCAGCAACTCAGACTTTACCACGGATCTTCTGAAAAAGCAAAAACAAAAAAAACAAAATTAAACTCAAAAACAAAAACTTGCGTTAACAGGATCTCCATTTTATTGTATTGTACACATTAAAATCTGAGTGATACCTTCTAACTCAGTAGGTCTGTTTTATCCAAATAATATACACAACTATGTCTTTTCCATCTGAAAAATACATACAACTAATTCTGTATGATGTAAATATAGCACTCAAAATTGTACATGTCGGTGTTTATGCCCTCAGTTTTATGTTTTATTATCCAGAAAAGTATCATGTATACACTGATGTTGTGGATGTAATACCACTCTTTCAGAGTTAGAGAATACATTAGAGAATATTTCTGTGTTGAAAATTATTTTATTGAATAATTTCAGTCACTTATAAGACTGATTGAACCAGTTCTCTTTACTCTGTCATTTTTCCTTGAGTCAAATTAAAAATTCTGCCTATGACCACTTAGTAAATGTGTGTGTTTGTGTGTGTTTTTCAGGAACCATTAACATTTAAGGATGTGGCCATAGAATTTTCTCTGGAGGAGTGGCAATGCCTGGACACGGCACAGCAGGATTTATATAGGAATGTGATGTTAGAGAACTACGGAAACCTGGTCTTCCTGGGTGAGCATAACTTTAATACGCAACTTCTAGTACACCATATAGGTTTCATTTCTCTTTTGAGGAATTTTTATTTTTTGGTAATTTATGCTTTTAGATTTCTGTTTTCAAGAAAATCATAGGGATTTTTCCATGTAGAAAACAATTTCTAGGCCGGGTGTGGTGGCTCACACCTATAATCCCAGCACTTTGGGAGGCCGAGGCTGGTGGATCACGAGGTCAAGAGATTGAGACTATCCTGGTCAACAAGGTGAAACCCCGTCTCTACTAAAAAAAATAATTATAATCTGGGCATGGTGGTGCACGCCTGTAGTCCCAGCTACTTTGGAGGCTGAGGCAGGAGAATTGCTTGAACCCAGGAGGCGGAGGTTGCGGTGAGCTGAGGTCGTGCCATTGCACTGTAGTCTGGGTAACAACAGCAAGACTTCGTCTCAAAAAAAAAAGAAAAGAAAACAATTTCTTCAGGATGTTTCATCGTGACCTAACCTTACCACATTCTTGAGCTGATCTGTGCCCCTCACTTTAGATTAGTGGTAATTTCAAAAGTTTACTGGGATAAAATATTGTTGCTCATACTTGAAAATCTAATTGCCACCACCAATTTTTAATTCAGTAGTACCAGGTGATAAAATTAAGAACTTACAAAATTAAAATATTTTCTAAATATTTAGAAATTTCTCTCATAAATTAGTATATTGGGATAAATGTATTAGAATATTCTATCATATCCTGTTTATTGAGCACATTACCGAGTTGGTAATTGTAGAATATGAGCAACATGCATGTTACTTATTTTTAATCAAACAGGTATTGCTGTCTCCAAGCCAGACCTGATCACCTGTCTGGAGCAAGGAAAAGTGCCCTGGAATAGGAAGAGACATGAGATGGTGGCCAAACCCCCAGGTAAGTGAGAGTCAATACAGCAGACAACAAGGATGAGCAGTCCAAAGTCAAGGAGAAAGCCAGTCCTTAAGGTGATTTGGGAAACTGTTCCAAAGGAAATGGTTTCTGGAAAGTCTAATTTGTATTTGTTTTAAATAATTTTCCTCTCACGTAAGGGCATCTTCTGTTGTATGCTTTTAAAATTTCTAAGAATTCTACTTTCCCTTCAGTAATCTTCCTTCAGGTTACAGTGACAGGCAAAGTACTGCTCATGTCATACAGGAAAGTGCACACTCTGACTTCTTTGTTTGTGTTTGTGGGTACACAGATATCTGCATCATTTTGAGATACGCCATGTTAAACTAAAGTTCTGTAGTGTGTGAGAGTAGTGGTTTCTGTTCCATTGTGGTTTTTTGTTTGTTGTTGTTGTTTTTCTGCACATTTCATCCTGTTTTTATTACTACAGTCTTGAAATATAGTTTGAGATCACATTGGACAATATGACACTTTAACATTTATTTTTTGAATCAATAGACTTAAAACATATTTAAAGTTATGTGCTCTCTAATTAGTTTTCATTGATAAATCTTTCACTTGAAATGTTTTTGACCTCCTTGGTTAAATTTGTTCTCAGAAATTTATTATTTTAGTGCTATTGTAAATAAGATTGTTTAATTAATTGGTTTTTTTTTTTTTTTTTTTGAGATGGAGTTTCGCTCTTGTTACCCAGGCTGGAGTGCAATGGCATGATCTGGGCTCACTGCAACCTCCACCTCCTGGGATCAGGCAATTCTCCTGCCTCAGCCTCCTGAGTAGCTGGGATTACATGCACGCGCCACCATGCCCAGCTAATTTTTTGTATTTTTAGTAGAGACGGGGTTTCACTATGTTAACCAGAATGGTCTCGATCTCTTGACCTCATGATCCACCCGCCTCAGCCTCCCAAAGTGCTGGGATGATAGGCGTGAGCCTCCACGCCTGGCCAATTTTTGTATTTTTAGTAGAGACGGTGTTTCACCTTGTTGACCAGGATGGTCTTGATCTCTTGACCTTGTGATTCACCCACCTCGGCCTCCCAAGGTGCTGGGATTATAGGCATGAGCCACTGTGCCTGGCCTATTTTTTTATTCTTATACTCATACTAGATTGCTTTAATTCTGTAGCTTTGTAATGTGTTTTGAAATCAGATACTTTAAGCCTGTGACATTTTTCCTTCTTTCTTTTTCTAAGTTTCTTGGATACTTTATTTTCCTGTGAGATTATGTACTTTTGAGGTTGCTGTTTCTGTTTCTTCAAAAATGCAATAAGAAATTTGAAAAACATCTTATTTTTATTTATTTATTTATTTTAAGACTGAGTGTCACTCTTGTCACTGAGGCTGGAGTGTAATGGCATGATCTTGGCTCACTGCAACCCCGTCTTCCTGGTTCAAGCAATTCTCCTGCCTCAGCCTCCCAAGAGCATAATGGCACATGCTGGGATTGCAGGCGTGTGCCATTATGCTCTGATAATTTTTTTGTGTTTTTAGTGGAGATGGGGTTTCACCATGATGGCCAGGGTGGTCTTGAACTCCTGACCTTGGGTGATCTCCACTTGCCTCAGCCTCCCAAATTGCTGGGATTACAGGGGTGAGCCACCATGCCCGGCTGGAGAAACATGTTATTAAATCTGTAGATTACATTGAGCTGGATGAATATCTTTACAATATGAACTATTACAGCCTTTGCATAAGAGCATGAGTGAGTGTTTTGTGAAATTCCTATATTTTTTTTTTTCAGTTTTTTTCCTATTATTGTTGTATTCTCTCATTCCAGTTTAGTCATAAAAAATAATTCATAACATTTCAATTTTTAAAAATGTGATAAGACTTCTTTTTTGGCTTAAGAGGTGGCCTATCGAGAAACATGTATGAGCTACTGAGGAGGGTGTGTATCCTGATGTTGAGTGTTCTCTATACCTGTTAGAAATAGTTGTTTTATACCACCTTCAAGTAGTCTGTTTTCCTACTAATATGCTGTTTTCTTTGATTTTTATTACAGAAAGTTTGGTATAATAATATCCTACTGGTTGGGCATGGTGGCTCATGCCTGTAATCCCAGCATTCTGGGAGGCTGAGGCAGGTGGATCACCTGAGGTCAGGAGTTTGAGACCAGCCTGGCCAACATGGTGAAACTCCATCTCTACTAAAAAATACAAAAAGTTAGCCAGGTGTGGTGGCTGGTGCCTGTAATCTCAGTTATTCGAGAGGCTGAGGCAGAAGAATCGCTTGAACCCACTAGGCAGAGGTTGCAGTGAGTCAAGATCATGGCCCTGCACTCCAGCCTGGGCAACAGAGTGAGAGTGTATCTCAAAAAAAAAAACCTACTGTAATTATGTTGCTCTCTATGTGTTTCTTTTATTCTGTCAATATTTGCTTTATATATTTGTAATCCTAATGTGAGACACAGACACACACACACACACACACACACAGACGTCTACACAAATATGTATATACAAATTTATCATAGGTTCCCAGTTAATGAATCTATTATTTTTTGATATCTTTCTTTGTCTCTTTGGAGTTTCAGTGTCAAATGCGTTTTATAAAATACAAGTTTTTGACTTAAGATTTAGCTTGAGCTCTTCTGCTCTCATTTAATTAATACTTGCACGAAATGTCTACTTCCATGTTGCTACTTTGAGTCTTTTTTTTTTTTAATCATTAGACTTCAACTGACTCTTGTAGAAAGGCAAGTTGGATCTTGATATTTAAAGTTTTCTAATAGGCTGGGTGTGGTTGCTCATGCCTATAATTTCAGCACTTTGGGAGGCTGAGGTGAGTGGATCACCTGAGTTCAGGGGTTCCAGACCAGCCTGGCCAACATTGTGAAATCAGATCTCTACTAAAAATACAAAAATTAGCTGGGCGTGGTGACAGATGCCAGTAATCCCAGCTACTTGGGAGTCTGAGGCAGGAGAATTGCTTGAACCCTGGAGGTAGAGGTTGCAGTGAGCTGAGTGAGATAGCACCATTGCACTCTAGCCTGGGCAACAAGACTGACACTGTCTCAAAAAAAAAAAAAAAAAAAAAAAAAACAAATTTTAATCTATTAAAAGCATATATGTTGATCTGAAAGTTAATTTTCTAGGCTGTGCATGGTAGCTCATGCCTTTAATCCCAGCAGTTTGAGATGCTAAGGTGGGCTGATCATGAGGTCAAGAGATTGAGACCATTCTGGCCAACATGGTGAAACCTTGTCTGTACTATAAATACAAACATTAGCTGGGCATGGTGGTGCACACTTGTAGTCCCAGCTACTCGGGAGGCTGAGGCAGGAGAATGGCTTCAACTCGGAAGGTGGATGTTGCAGTGAGCCATGAAAGTGCTCTGTTGCCAGGCTGGAACAGAGACTCAGTCTCAAAAGAAAAAAAGGTAATTTTCTATATATTTAAATAATTTCCTGAAAGAGGAGGACTTACTTTTATTTTATTACCTATTCTATTTGATTCTTACATCTTTGTCCCTCATTTTCTCTTTCTTTCTTTTTGATTTTTTTATCAATGCTTTTACTTTCTATCTTTCTTTTGCATATCTATACAGATTTTTTTGGGGGGGTAGTACTTTGGGGATTACGTGAAACCTCTAAAAATACAAAAACATATTTTAATCTGGTAAAATTTTAACTTCAGTTGGATAAAAAATTCCTCCCTATTACATCTGCCCTTAAATTTGTCATTGATGTTGCTAAGGGTATTTATTTATGTTGTATAGTGATTAACAGGTGTCTATAATAATTCCTATGCTTTTATCTCTCAAAGAATACTTAAAAATGTTTTCTGCACCATTTGAATAATGCTAGAAATCCAATTTTTGGTATGTGCATTTCTTTTCTAGAAAATAATGTATTTTTATATGATTAGGTGTTGTTTTCTTGAATCACGTTATTTTCAGTGGTAAAAAGTGCTTTCAGCATGTCTCCTATGAAGAGACATGTAATGCCAATGTACTTTTTAAGAATTTGGTTATTTTGAAGTTTTATTTCTTTATTTTTTATTTTAGGCAGGATAGATTTGCTGATGGTATTATTATTTATTTATTATCGACTTTGACTATATCACATGGTTCTCTTCTGGCCTGAAAGTGTTTTGTTGACAGTTCACTGGTTATCTCATAAGACTATATTTGCAAATGACACGTCACTTTTATCTTTCAGCTCTCAAGTATCTCTTTTTGTCTGTAACTGTTGAAATTGTGATTATAGGGCCAGGTATGGTGGCTCATGTGTGTAATCCAAGCACTTTGGGGTGGCCAAGGCAGGTGGATCACAAGGTCAGGAGTTCAACACCAGCCTGGTCAATATGGTGAAACTCCATCTCTATGAAAAAAATATAAAAATAGCCAGGCATGGTGGCGGGCACCTGTAGTCCCAGCTACCTGGGAGGCTGAGGTAGGAGAATTGCTTGAACATGGGACGCAGAGGTTGCAGTGAGCTAAGATCATGCCACTGTACTCCAGCCTAGGCAACAGAGTGAGACTCATCTCAAAAAAAAAAAAAAGAAGAAAGAAAGAAATTGTGATTATAAATATGTTTTTATTACCAATGTCTTTATATGTATCCTAATTTGCTTTTTAGCTTTTTCATGTTTACATCATTTTTTCTTAATTTTAGAATTGTTATTTCTTTTTTTTTGTCAGACGAAGTTTCACTGTTGTTACCCAGACTGGAGCACAATGGCACAATCTCGGCTCACTGCAACCTCCGCCTTCTGGGTTCAAGCAATTCTCCTGCCTCAGCTTCCCAAGTAGCTGGGACTACAGGTGTGCACCACCATGCCAGGCTAATTTTTGTATTTTTAGTAGAGATGGGGTTTCACCTTGTTGACCAGGATGGTCTCGATCTCTTGACCTCGTGATCCACTGCCTCGGCCTCCCAAAGTGCTGGGATTATAGGCGTGATCCACCTCGCCTGGCTCTTTTTGTATTTTTTACCAACACAATTTAAATATTTTTGTTATATCATTTTTCTGATTTTCAATAGTTGTCTGTTTTCCTGTTTTAATCATTATTATTCAATTTTTAAAATTAGTATATACATTTTTAATGATTTCTTTCTGAAAATTTTATAGTATTTTATGAGATTATTTTGCCCTAGTTTGTAGAGATTGTACTGTTTCAGATTTGGACATTTAAAAAGGCTACCTGTCACAAAATTTACAATGTAGCTTTGTCCTGGCATAGTCAGAAAACAGTGGTCTTGGCTGGACATATGGGAATCTCTTGAATATCATCTTCAGGTTTGTCCTGTCTGAAATTTCGTGTTTACTTCTAGCTAAAGGAGATTATGTTTCTTCCGAAAAGGAAGTAATCACTTGTGACACGTGTTCTCTCTCTGCAGCACTGCAGTGCTCTTCTGCAGTGGCCTAATTTGTTATTTTATTTCTTTTCAGTTGCATGTTTTTATTTTGCCCAAGATCTTTGGTCTCAGCTGACTCAAACTCTCATTTCAAAGTATATTACCATTTCTTTCAGCACTTTATGTCATGGGAGACAGAAACAGTGTGAAAAGGCCCGTTGAAGCTAGAAATTAAGTTGTATATGCCAATATTTTTCTTGTCTTTTAAGAACCAAACCAGAAGTTGACAACTTACTTCTAAAGAAACTATGTAATATTAGGAAGCAGAAAGTGTTGTGTTGGGTAAATGTAAGAAACTTTTTATTTTTTCTATGTGGATTTTTGCATTGAACTCACTTTAGGCGCTGCACACACTTAACTCATAAATTATGTACATATGTATTTTGGTTTGTATGCTTTTTGTCTGTGTAGGGGCGACAAGAGTTTTGCTTTTGTTGTCGAGGCTGGGGTGCAATGGCACGATCTTGGCTTACGACAACCTCCTCCCGGGTTTAAGCAATTGATTCTCCTGCCTCAGCCTCCTGAGTAGCTGGGATTAGAGGCATGTGCCACCACACCTGGCTAATTTTCTATTTTTAGTAGAGACAGGGTTCTTCATGTTGGTCAGGCCAGTCTCAAACTCCTGATCTCAGGTGATCTGACCACCTTGGTCTCCCAAAGTGCTGGGATTACAGATGTGAGCCACCATGCCCAGGTGGTGTGTATGTTTTTATAACACTTACATGTCTCTGAAGTACTTAGGGCCTGTGGTATATTGCAATGTCATCTCATTTTTGTGGATTGAATAATTTTATCGGTTAGATTTGTAAAATATATTCATCTGAGTCTAATAAGTGGACTAATTTGTTATTTTTATTTCTTTTCAGTTGTATGTTCTTATTTTGCTCAAGACCTTTGGCTAGAGCAGGGCGTAGAAGATTCTTTTCAAAAAGTGATATTGAGAAGACATGGAAAATGTGGACATGAGAATTTGCAGTTAAAAATTTGTTGCGCCAATGTGGATGAGTCTCAAGTTCACAGAAAAGGTTATAATAATCTTAACCAGAGTTTGACAACTGCACAGAGCAAAGTATTGCAATGTGATAAATATGCCAAAGTCTTTCATAAATGTTCAAATTCAAACAGACACAAGATAAGGCATACTGGAAAGAAACTTTTGAAATGTAAAGAAGATGACAGATCATTTTGCATGCCTTCACACCTATCTCCACATAAAAGAATTTATACTAGAGAGAATTTCTTCGAATGTGAAGAATGTGGCAAAACCTTTAATAGGTCCTCAGCGCTTACTTATCATAAGAGAATTCATACTGGAAAGAAAGCCTACAAACGTGAAAAATGTGGCAAAGCCTTCAACTGGTCCTCAAGACTTACTGAACATAAGAGAGTTCATGCTGGAGAGAAACCCTACAAATGTGAAGACTGTGGCAAAGCTTTTAATCGATTTGGAATTTTTACTAAACATAAACTAATTCATGCTGGAGAGAAACCCTACAAATGTAAAGAATGTGGTAAAGCTTTCTCCTGGGCCTCAAGCCTTAGTGAACATAAGAGAAATCACACTGGAGAGTACCCCTACAGATGTGAAGAATGTGGCAAAGCCTTTAAAAAGTCCTCGCTTCTTACTAGACATAAGGTAATTCATGCTGAAGAGAGACCCTACAAATGTGAAGAATGTGGCAAAACTTTTAAACGGTCTTCAACCCTTACTGAACACAATAAGAGTGTTCATGTTGGAGGGAAACCCTACAAGTGTGAAGAATGTGGCAAAGCTTTTAATCACCCCTCAATGCTTACTAAACATAAGAGGGTTCATGCTGGAGAGAAACCCTACAAATGTGAAGAATGCGGTAAAGTGTTCACCTGGTCCTCAAACCTTATGGAACATGTAAGAATTCATACTGGAGAGAAACCCTACAAATGTGAAGAATGTGGCAACGCTTTCTCCTGGGCCTCAAGCCTTAGTGAACATAAGATAAATCATACTGGAGAGTACCCCTACAGATGTAAAGAATGTGGCAAAGCCTTTAAAAAGTCCTCACATCTTACTAGACATAAGGTAATTCATACTGAAGAGAGACCCTACAAATGTGAAGAATGTGGCAAAGCCTTTAAAAAGTCCTCGTTTCTTACTAGACATAAGGTAATTCATGCTGAAGAGAGACCCTACAAATGTGAAGAATGTGGCAAAACTTTTAAACGGTCTTCAACCCTTACTAATCATAAGAGTGTTCATGTTGGAGGGAAACCCTACAAGTGTGAAGAATGTGGCAAAGCTTTTAATCACCCCTCAATGCTTACTAAACATAAGAGGGTTCATGCTTGAGAGAAACCCTACAAATGTGAAGAATGTGGTAAAGTGTTCACCTGGTCATCAAACCTTATGGAACATGTAAGAATTCATACTGGAGAGAAACCCTACAGATGTGAAGAATGTGGTGAATCCTTCACTTGGTTCTCAAGCCTTTCTAATCATAAGATAATTCATACTGGAGAGAGACCCTACAAATGTGAAGAATGTGGCAAAGCTTTTAATCGATTTGGAATTTTTACTAAACATAAACTAATTCATGCTGGAGAGAAACCCTACAAATGTAAAGAATGTGGCAAAGCTTTCTCCTGGGCCTCAAGCCTTAGTGAACATAAGAGAAATCACACTGGAGAGTACCCCTACAGATGTGAAGAATGTGGCAAAGCCTTTAAAAAGTCCTCGCTTCTTACTAGACATAAGGTAATTCATGCTGAAGAGAGACCCTACAAATGTGAAGAATGTGGCAAAACTTTTAACCGGTCTTCAACCCTTACTAGACATAATAAGAGTGTTCATGTTGGAGGGAAACCCTACAAGTGTGAAGAATGTGGCAAAGCTTTTAATCACCCCTCAATGCTTACTAAACATAAGAGGGTTCATGCTTGAGAGAAACCCTACAAATGTGAAGAATGTGGTAAAGTGTTCACCTGGTCATCAAACCTTATGGAACATGTAAGAATTCATACTGGAGAGAAACCCTACAGATGTGAAGAATGTGGCGAATCCTTCACTTGGTTCTCAAGCCTTTCTAATCATAAGATAATTCATACTGGAGAGAGACCCTACAAATGTGAAGAATGTGGCAAAGCTTTTAATCGATTTGGAATTTTTACTAAACATAAACTAATTCATGCTGGAGAGAAACCCTACAAATGTGAAGAATGTGGCAAAGCTTTCTCCTGGGCCTCAAGCCTTAGTGAACATAAGATAAATCATACTGGAGAGTACCCCTACAGATGTGAAGAATGTGGCAAAGCCTTTAAAAAGTCCTCGCTTCTTACTAGACATAAGGTAATTCATGCTGAAGAGAGACCCTACAAATGCGAAGAATGTGGCAAAACTTTTAACCGGTCTTCAACCCTTACTTATCATAAGAGAATTCATACTGGAGAGAAACCCTACAAATGTGAAGAATGTGGCAGAGCCTTTAGCTGGTCCTCAAGCCTTTCTAATCATAAGAGAATTCATACTGGAGAGAAACTAAAAATGTGAAGAATGTGGCAAAGCTTTTACTCAATTCTCAATTTTTACTAAACATAAGATAATTCATGCTGGAGAGAAACCCTACAAATGTGAAAAATGTGGCAAAGGCTTCACCTGGCCCTCAAGCCTTAGTGAACATAAGAGAAATCATAAACCCTTCCAAATGTAAAGAATGTGGCAAAGTCTTTAAAAAGTCCTCACTTCTTACTAGACATAAGGTAATTCATACTGAAGAGGAACCCTCCAAATGTAAAGAATGTGGCAAAGCCTTTAACCGGTCATCAGCCCTTACTCATCATAAGAGAATTGATATTGGAGGAAAAACCCTAGAAATGTGAAGAAGGTGGCAAACCTTTTAACTGTTCCTCAATTCTTTGCTTTTTTTGTGAGACGGAGTTTCGCTCTTGTTACCCAGGCTGGAGTGCAATGGCGCGATCTCGGCTCACTGCAACCTCCGTCTCCTGGGTTCAGGCAATTCTCCTGCCTCAGCCTCCTGAGTAGCTGGGATTACAGGCACGTGCCACCATGCCCAGCTAATTTTTTGTATTTTTAGTAGAGATGGGGTTTCACCATGTTGACCGGGACGGTCTCGAACTCTTGACCTCATGATCCACCCACCTCGGCCTCCCAAAGTGCTGGGATTACAGACTTGAGCCACCGCGCCTGGCCCCTCAATTCTTACTAAACATAAGGTAATTCATACTGGAGGGAATCCCTACAAGTGTGTGCAATGTGTCAAAGCCTTTAAGTAGTCCTTGAGGTTTACTATATATAAGACAACTCATACTGGAAAGAAACCCTACACACGTGAAGAATGTGGGAAAGCCTCTAACAGATCCTCAATTCTTTTTTTTTTTTTTTTTTGAGATGGAGTTTCGCTCTTGTTACCCAGGCTGAAGTGCAATGACGCAATCTCGGCTCACCGCAACCTCCGCCTCCTGGGTTCAGGCAATTCTCCTGCCTCAGCCTCCTGAGTAGCTGGGATTACAGGCACGCGCCACCATGCCCAGCTAATTTTTTGTATTTTTAGGAGAGACGGGGTTTCACCATGTTGACCAGGGTGGTCTCAATCTGTTGACCTCGTGATCCACCCGCCTCGGCCTCCAAAAGTGCTGGGATTACAGGCTTGAGCCACCGCGCCCAGCCGATCCTCAATTCTTAACAGACTTAAGATAATTTATGCTAGAGAAGCTACAAACCTGAAAGATGTGACAATGCTTTTGGCAGCACCTCAAACTTTTCTAAGTATAAAAGAAATCATACTGATGAGAAATCCTAGAAATGTGAAGAATGTGATAAAGCTTTCAAATGGCTGTCACACTTGATTAGAGAAAACTACTAATGTGAACAATGTGGTAAATATTTACCCAGTGCTTACACCTTATTGCACAGGAAAGCATTTATATTTGAGAACAAATCTTCAAATATAAAGAAAGTGTAGGCTGTGCATGGTGGTGGCTCATCCCTGAAATCTGAGCACTTCGGGAGGCTAAAATGGGCAGATCACTTAAGGTCAGGAGTTCAAAACCAGCCTGGCCAACATGGCAAAACCCATCTTTACTAAAAATGCAAATAAATTAGCCAGGCATAGTGGTGGCATGTGTAATTCCAGCTACTCTGAAGACCGAGGCAGGAGAATCACTTGAATCCAGGAGACACAGCTTGCACTTAGCCAAGATTGCACTACTGCACTCCAGCTTGGACTACAGGGAGAGACTCTGTCTAAAAAAAAAAAGGCAATGTGAAAGTCATTAATATCTGCTCACATTCAACATCAGAGAGTTTATGCTAAATAAAAGCATTAAAAATGCAATTACTCTCAGAAGATCTTTCAGAAATATAAGGCCTTAAAGTGCAGAAGAATGTTTATTCTCAACAGAAACATCACAAATATAAAGAGGGTTGTAGTCCTTTTACTTCTGTCACAGAATTTATTGTTCACACTTGGTACTAAAGGAGACCCCTGAGGCAGTTGTTCCCACTTTGTTTAACATCAGGGAATTTATATAATTAGGAAAAATATTTTTTCAAATACTACAGATTATAAAACACCAGAGAGTTTATACTAAAATATATTTTTGTGGATACAGTAAATATTTTAAAAAATTAATCCAATATTAAGTTCATGTAAGTATTAGGGCAGTCACAGTAGAAATATCTGTCTCTCAGACATCAGACATTACACTAAATCAAATTGCTGAGTATAGTAAAAAATCCAAAAATAAAGTTGATAGAAAATTTATTTGTATTTAACTTTAAAAGAACTAGATCTTGGTCAGGCTCCGAGGCTCACACCTGTAATTCCAACACTTTGGGTGGCCAAGGCATGTGGATCTCAAGGCCAGAAGTTCAAGACGAACCTGGCCAAGACAGTGAAAATGTAATTCTACTAAAAACTACAAAAATTAGTTGGGTGTGGTAGCAGGTGCCTGTAATCCCAGCTGTTCAGAAGGCTGAGACAGGAGAATCGCTTGAACGTGGGAGGTGGAGGTTGCAGTGAGCTGAAATTTTCCCACTGTACTGCCTGGGTGACAGAGCGAGACTCTGTCTCAAGGGAAAAAATAAATAAATAAATATATATATAGTTTGGAAACTGAAAAATGATGGAATTCAACTTTAAATCACTTCATGCTGTTTCTTCATTTCTATTGTATTCACATATATAAACGTGATCAATTCTTGCTGCACCAAAGAATTGGGACTCTTTTTATTAGGTGGTTATTTATGACATCTCTTTTTTTGTTTTGAGACGGAGTTTCGCTCTTGTTACCCAGGCTGGAGTGCAATGGCACGATCTCGGCTCACCACAACCTCCACCTCCCGGGTTCAGGCAATTCTCCTGCCTCAGCCTCCTGAGTAGCTTGGATTACAGGCACGTGCCACTATGCCCAGCTAATTTTTTGTTTTAGTAGAGACGGGGTTTCACCATGTTGACCAGGATGGTCTCAATCTCTTGACCTCGTGATCAACCCGCCTTGGCCTCCCAAAGGGCTGGGGTTAGAGGCGTGACCCCCTGCGCCCAGCCTAGTAATTGTACTTTTATGTGATAAAACTACGTTTTTTTTTTTTTTTTTTTGAGATTGAGTTTCGCTCTTGTTTCCCAGGCTGGTGTGCAATGGCACGATCTCAGCTCTCCGCAACCTCCACCTCCTGGATTCAAGTGATTCTCCTGCCTCAGGTTCCCCAGTAGCTGGGACTACAGGCACTTGCCATTATGCCCAGCTAATTTTTTTGTATTTTTAGTAGAGACGGGGTTTCACCGTGTTGACCAGGATGGTCTCGATCTCTTGACCTCGTGGTCCACCTGCCTCGGCCTCCCAAAGTGCTGGGATTATAGGTGTGAGCCACTATGCCCGGCGATAAAACTACATTTTACCGTCTCTAGTTTTCTTTGCCAGTGGCAAATAAGTTAAATATGGTTCCTGTAGGTTAATTTTTTTCTTTTACATTTAAATTCATTTTTCTTAGTTTTCCTGTGTACCTAATATGTGTATATATTTGTTATATATGGTATATTTTGATACAGTCATACAATTTATAGTAATCACATTAGGGTAAAGTACTTAAAACCTTTGGCTTTTATGGTTTTCATTACAGACAATTCACTTCTGCAGTCTTAGTTACTCTGAAATGTGCACTGAAATTCTTACTGACTACAGCATCATTTTTATGGTCATTATAAAACTTATACAAGCATAAATGAAATCAGTATACACTCAAACCAATAGTGTGCAAGCAATTTTTTAAATTCACATTTCTACCAACACTTGTTTCTTCTTAATTAGTGTCATTCTAACAAGTGATATTGCCTAGTTTTTTTTTTTGGTTTTTTTCTTTTTTTTTTTTGGCTTGCCTTTCCCTGATAATAGACAGTGATTATTTTTTGAATGATCCATTGGCCACATGTATGTCTTTTTTTGAAAAATATGTAAGCCTTTTTCTCATTTTTAATAGTTTTTTATTTTTTAATTTAAAGATGGGGTTGGGCCAGGCGCAGTGGCTCAGGCCTGTAAATCTCAGCACTTTGGGAGGCCGAGGCGGGTGGATCACGAGGTCAAGAGATCGAGACCATCCTGGTCAACATAGTGAAACCCTGTCTCTACTAAAAATACAAGAAATCAACTGGGCATAGTGGTGCACGCCTGTAATCCTGGCTACTCGGGAGGCTGAGGCAGGAGAATTGCCTGAACCTAGAATGCAGAGGTTGCGATGAGCCGAGATCGCGCCATTGCACTCCAGCCTGGGTAGCAAGTGAAACTCCGACTCAAAAATAAAATGAAGATGGGGTTTCACCATGTTGGTCAGGCTGGTCTTGAACTCCCAACCTCAGGGGATCCGCCAACCTTGGCCTCCAAAGTGGTTGGAGTACAGGCGTGAGCCACCGTCAAATGAGTTTGTTGTATAGCTTTGCTTTTTTTTTTTTTTTTTTAAGGCGGAGTCTCGCTCTTGCCAAGCTGGATAATCTCAGCTCATTGCAACCTCTGCCTCCTGGGTTCAAGCGATTCTCTTGCCTCAGCTTCTCAAGTAGCTGAGACTAAAGGTGTGCACCACCACACTCAGCTAATTTTTGTATTTTTTTTTTTTTTAAGACGGGGTTTCACCATATTGGTGAGGCTGGTCTTGAACTCCCGACCTCAGGTGATCCGCCCGCCTTGGCCTCCAAAGTGCTTGGATTACAGGCGTGAGCCACTACACCCAGCCTAATTTTTGTGTATATATATATATATATATATATATATATATATATATATATTTTTTTTTTTTTTTTTTTTTTTTTTTTGGAGACGGAGTTTCTAGTAGAGATGGGGTTTCACCATTTTGGCCAGGATGGTCTCGAATTCTTGACCTTATGATTCATCCACCTCAGCCTCCCAACTGCTGGGATTACAGGTGTGTGCCAGCATGCCTGGTCTGTATAGTTTTGATATTAATCCCTGTCACATACAATCCTGTTGATTGTATCCTATTCTCTGCAGGAGCTTTTTAATTTAAAACAATCTGATTTATCTATTTTTTCATTTTGTTCTTTAGGATTCGAGGTCAAATTTTAAAAGTCACTGCCCAACCAATGTTAAAGGGATTTCAGTATGTGTTTTTTTTCTAGTAGTTTCAGAGTTTTAGACCTTACGTTTAAGTATTTAATTTATTTTGTGTTGATTTTTATATATGATGTGAGTTGAGAGTCTCATTTTATTCCTCTGCATGTGGATATAAAATTTTCTTAACATCATTTATTGAAAATATTGCCTTTTTTCTAAAAAATTGCCACCTTTATTTAAAATCGGTTGATTGTAAATGTATATATTTCTGGTCTCCTTTTTCTTCTCTATTGGCCTGTGTGTCTGTTTTTATTCAAGTACCATACTGTTTTTTTGTTTTTATTTTTCTAACTATAGCTTTGTAGTATGTTTGAAAGGTAGAGTGATACCTTCACTTTTTCTATTGCTTTATTGCTTGATTGCTTTGGCTATTCAGGGTCTTTTGTGATACCATAGAAATTTTAGATTATTTTTTAATTTGTTAATTATGTCACTGGTATTTTGATAGAGGTTGTATCATATCTGTACACCGTTTTGTATAAGATAGACATTTAACAATATTAGTAATGTTGATTGATGAAGGTAGTATTTTTTCAATTGTGTATGAGTTTTTGTTTTTTTTTTTTTTTTTGAGATGGAGTTTTGCTGTTGTTACCCAGACTGGAGTGCAATGGCACAATCTCGGCCCCCTGCAGCCTCTGCCTCCTGGGTTCAAGCAGTTCTCCTGCCTCAACCTCCCGAGTAGCTGGGACTACAGGCGTGCACCACCATGCTCAGCTAATTTTTGTATTTTTAGTAGAGACAGGGTTTCACCTTGTTGACCAGGATGGTCTCGATCTCTTGACCTCGTGATCCACCCGCCTCGGCCTCCCGGAAGTGCTGGGATTATAGGCATGAGCCACCACGCCTGGCCCCGTTTTTTAAATATATATATATATATTTTTTGAGATAGAGTCTCACTCTGTTGCCCAAGCTGAAGTGCAATGGTGCAATCTCAGCTCACTGCAACCTCCACCTCCCAGGCTCAAGCAATTCTGCCTCAGCCTCCCGAGTAGCTAGAATTACAGGAGCACACCAACACGCCCGGCTAATTTTTGTATTTTTAGTAGAGATGGGGTTTCACCATGTTGGCCAGGATGGTTTCTATCTTTTGACCTCGTGATCCACCCGCCTCCGCCTCCCAAAGTGCTGGGATTACAGGCGTGAACCACCGCGCGCAGGCTCGATTTCATTTTGAAATAGTTGTCTGTGGATAGAAATGCTACAAACACTTGGATGTTGCTTTTGTATCCACCAGTTTGGTGAGTTGGTTTATTTTTTTCAGTAGTGTTTAGCAATATCTTAGGCTTTTGTTTACTTAAGATTATGTGTAGGAATAAAAGGCACGGGAATAATTTAACATTTTTTCTACTCTGGGTGCTTTGATTTTCGAATTTCTCTAGGATATTTAGTACTGTGTTTAATAAGACTGAAGAAAGTGGGCATTTTGGTCTTGTTCTTGCTCTTATAGTAAAAGCTTACACTACTTTTCTGTTTAGTATTTTATTAGCTGTACTTCTTTGGTTATATGTGGCATTTAATGGCTTGAGGTTTGTTTTTCTATACCTACTATTTTCAGAAATTTATTATGAAGGAATGTTGAATTTCGTTTAACTTTTATTCTGTATTTATTTAAATGTTAGAGATGCAAAATCACATCTAATTCTGCATAGATTTTAAAAAAAGATCCTCAGAGACTTCTATGAACATGCCTGCAAAATAGAAAATTTAGAGAAAATAAACTTGTAGATACACACAACTTTCCTAGATTGAACCAGAAAAAGAAGTCTTTAACAGAGCAAAAATGTATAATGACGTTACATAAGTATTAATAAACCTACCAACAATGAAAAGCCCTAGATCATGTAAAATCACAGCCAAATTTTACCACATGTACAAAGATAGTCTGGTCCTAATCATACTGAATGTACTCGAAAAAATCAATTTGGGATTTCACCTTAACTCCTCGTATGAATTCAGTGAACTATACAAAACCAAAATCTAGAGAAGAAAAAAAGAAAACTGCAAGTCAATATTTTGGGTAAACATTGGAAGATCAATCTCATTAAACACTAGCAAACTGAGTTCCAAAGCAAGTCAGAAAGTTATTTTACTGCAATAAACATTATTGCATAAATACAGGTACATTTTATCATATGCAAGTAAATTAGTGTGATTGACCATGTAAAGGTAATTAAGATAAAAAAATATTGAACACAATAGGGGCAGTTAAAGCATTCAATTAAATCCAATATTGACTCAAAATTGTTCTCAACACACTAGACATTTTTGAAACATACCTCAAAATAATAAAAGCCATCTATGACAAATCCTTAGCCAACATGATACTCCAAAAGCAAGAGCTGGATGCATTCTCCATATGAAAAATAAGAAAAATATCCATTCTAAACGGTTCTATTAAACATAGTTATGAAAGTCCTAACCAGAGTAATGCAACAAAATAAATAAAAGGAATCCAAATGGAAAACAAAGTAAAATTACCTGTATTGATCATACAATTCTCTACCTAGAATAGTTTAAAGATTTCACCAGGTCTCCACCCCCTATCCCCGCTCACCTCCTCACAAAAAAAAGAAAAGATTTCATCAAAAGACTTCTAAGCCTAAAAAAAGACTTAAAAAAAGTCTCAGAATACAAAATCAACACAATCAGACTAAAAAAAGACTTAAAAAATGTCTCAGAATACAAAATCAATAGCATTTCAGTACACCAATAATATTGAAGCTGAGAACAAAATTTTTAAAAATTTATATTTACAATAGCCACAAAAAAATTCTAGAGATACATTAAATCAATAAATTTAATGTAAGTTTATTACATTAAATTTTATAAACTTTTTGCTTCTGCACAGTAAGATAAACTATCAACAAAGTAAACTGATGACGTATAGTATGAAATAAAATATTTGCAAACTGCAGAAAATGAAGGATTAATATGCAGAATGCATAAAAATTTTTATTAAAAAGCAAATGATATGAATAGGCTTTTCTCAAAGGAAGACAGAGCTGCCAATAAATATGTAAAGTTGCTCAACATTTCTAATTATTAGAAAGATGTAAATAAAAGTGACAATATGATACCATTTCACATCAGTACGAATGACTGTCAGTAAAAGTAAAGAAAAAGAGGTTGAAGTTATGGAGAAAAGGAAATCTTCCTACACTGTTGGTGGGAATGCAAATTAATTTAGCCCCTGTGCTAAGCAGTTTGGAGATTTCTCAAAGTACTAAAAATAGAATTGCCAGTTGATAACCCCACTGCAGGGTATCTACACCCCAAAATAAGTAATTTTGCTAAAGAGACACTTGCACTCATGTTTATTGCAGCACTATTCACAATAGCAAAGACAATCAAACCAGTTACCCATGAATCTTTTTATGGGATAAGAAAAATGAAGTACTCATATACCCTCCAATATGCAGCAACAGAAGACAATGAATTAATGTCTTTTGCAGCAACACAAATGCAGCCGAAGGCCATTATTTTAATCCAATTAATGCATCAGAAAAACAAATGCCACATGTTCTCTTACATCTATGCTAAAAATTGGATAGGCATGGAAACAAAGACAAAAACAACGAACACTGGGAATTCTAAAAAGAAGGAAGGGAGACACGCATTGAAATCTACTTAGGTATGATGTACACTACTTGGGCAATGAAATTATTAAGTGCCCAAACCTCAACACCATGTAGTATTTCTGTTATACAGATCTGCACATGTACCACTTAAATGTAAAATAAAAATAATAAAATGCTTTTTGGTATAACGACATGTTCTATTTCTCCAGTTCTGGGTTAATAGTTGAAATTAGGGCTGAAAGACACATTTTCGCCCCTTAAAGCATAGGGGTAAATACCAGGTCTCCCACATTTTATAAGCTAACCTCTCTGAAAGCTCTTGGTCTATAGCCCAAAAAGAGTTTTATTTTCAAGCGCGGAGCTGAAATAAACTACATCTTTACTATTTATTTATTTACTGTACACTAGACTATTGATTTAATTTATTTAATCTTTTTGGGGGAAAAGCAGCAAGTGGTTTAATCACTTTTTTTTAGAATGTACCACTGTTGAAAATGTGAGACTGTAAAAATTATGCTAAATTACTGAGTTAAAAAAATTAAAAACAAAGATATCTTATGGTCATATTCTAAAAATAATAAAACAGAAAGTGCATATTATTTAGGACCACAGTGCTGCAAATGCTCATTCCATTACAGTCATTCTTGTGAAGAATAGAAATAATGGGTCCGCAGGTATTTTAGATTATTTGCTATTGCAGTGTTAAATTATTGCCTTTATTACTTGCCATATGAAAGTCTGTACTTGAGGGCCAGGCGCTGTGGCTCACGCTTGTAATCCCAGCACTCTGGGAGGCCGAGGCGGGCAGATCACCAGGTCAGGAGATCAAGACCATCCTGGCCAACATGGTGAAACCCCGTCTCTATTGGGGAAAAACAAATAAAAAAAGTCTGTACTTGAACAAAAGATGCCACGAATTTCAAGTTAATATGCTCACACATGTATTCTCCACAGAAGGGCACTGGCGTATTTGCAGTCAGGGTTTCTTGGCTGCCTTGTGCTGCTGTGTCTGTGTGAAATAAAAAGGCAGCAGGTAAAGAAGAATCAATCGTGAAATTTCCAGTTTCAACAGCCACAGCCTCTGTAATTGAGTGTTATGTCACCTAGAAATAATGACTATTTCAAAACTGAGAAAAAGAAAGTGATACTTTATATTTTTAGTTTGTTGTTTATAAAAATTCATAGTTTCTGATTTATTATATGCTAAACAACCTGAACGTGCAGATACCTAAAGTTCCCACCTAGATGATAGCATTAATATTTTAACAGCTTATAATTGAGAGTCAGAATTGCCCTCTTGGGTTTACTAAAAAGCAGTTATTTTTAGTAAGATATTTATCTTCTAAGTGTAAATAGGTTTCCCATAATCTTAAACATACAGATCTATTAAGATTAGTGCTATGTCTAGATTTGAATAAAATGTATAGGTTTGTAGTAACAAATTTTCATATTTATTTTCTAATAAAAATCAAAAAGTAAAAGAAATGTTAAAATGAATTTAAAAGAAACTTTACATTTCTTCATTAAATAACATTTAAAATGACATTGTGAGTGATCAGTAATTGCAATCTTTTTTAGTCACTGAGAAAACTTAAGATTTTTAAATTATTCGATTGGGGAAGTATTCTCATATCAATGTTTCTGAAATTCGGAAACTGTAGACCACTCAATAGATGATGTACATGCAGACCACACATTTTCCATATAATAATAGGCTAATCCTAGCTTTTTATATAAAAATGTAATGTACTTCTAAATTAAAATTAGTGTATTCTCAATTATTTTCTCTGGAAAACGTCTAGAAATCGTGGCAGCTTTTTGATTAAAACATTTTTTGTTATTTTTTATGCAAATTAGTTTACTGTGTTCACAGAGTGGCCAGTCTTGGGACCATAAGTAACACTTGCTCTTTTAGTGTCTTTCATACCATTACCGTCAGCACCAGAAACTCCAGGTGCCCCAAGCTTAAAATAAAGGACTAAAGTACATTGCTCGTCCCATGCACTGTGATGGGTTTAAAACATGCTGCCAAGTATCACAGTTCCTATGTTATGACTGGCACATGACAAAAGCAGCACCAAGACTATTTTTTATACTATTCCGCCAACTTTATGACAAAGACACAAACATTATTTGAAATATTGTTACCTTTTTGTAAATTTTTAAAAATATATTCTCTAATTTGAAAGATAAAATATATTTTTTCTGTGAAACAACATTTTGAAGGATATACCCGTGATCAAATGCTTAGCTCTAGGTAATTAATGCTTTATCTCAAATAGTTAACATCTTTTGTGGTGAAATCACAGAACATTGTTAGCATTTTTCACACATAACAAATGCAATATTATAAAGTGTAGTCACAATGCTGTCCAATATTGAAAGTCCTCCTCCTATCCAGCTATAATTATGTATTCTTTCACAGACATCTTTCCAATTCCTCATTTTTTCTAAATACCTTGGCATCTGGTGGTCCCATTTTGCTCTCTACATCAGTGAGATTAAGTTTTTTAGAATCCACGTGTAAGTGAAATTATGGGATGCTAAAACTATGACTTATTTCAACTGATGTCCTTAGGGTTAATCCATGTGATAGGAAATAATAGAATTTTCTAAAGATAAATAGTATTTCATTGGGTATATATACCATGTTGTCTTTATTTACTCATAGATGTTGAACTGTTGACTGTATAATTGGGCTGTTCTGAAGAGTGCTGCAAACAACATGGAAGTGTGGATATTTATTCTGATTTTGTTCTGGATATACAACAGTGAAATGGTTTTGCTATATAATAGTTAGATTTTAAGTTTTTTCTTTTCTTGTAAACTCTGCTTTGTTATTTATAATGGCTGTCCTCATTTACATTCAAAGCATTTTCTTTTATTCATATCTTCGCCAACTAATGCTTTTTAATTTAATTAATTAATTAATTTTCTTTTTTTTGAGACGGAGTTTTGCTGTTGTTACCCAGACTGGAGTGCAATGGCAGGATCTCGGCTAACCGCAACCTCCCCCTCCCGGGTTCAAGCAATTCTCCTGCCTCAGCCTCCCGAGTAGCTGGGACTACAGGCACGCACCACCGTGCCCAGCTAATTTTTTTTTTTTTTATTTTTAGTAGAGACGGGGTTTCACCTTGTTGACCAGGATGGTCTGAATCTCTGGACCTCGTGATCCATCTGCCTCGGCCTCCCAAAGTGCTGGGATTATAGGCGTGAGCCACCGTGCCCGGCCTAATTTAATTTATTTGGTTTTGAGACAGAGTCTTGCTCTGTCACCCAGGGTGGAGTGCAATGGTATGAGTCTCACCTCACGGCAACCTCTACCTCCTGGATTCAAGTGATCTCCTGCTTCAACCTCCGGAGTAGCTGGGATTACAGGTTCCTGCCACCACACCCAGCTATTTTTTTTTTTTTTTTAGTATAGATGAGGTTTTGCCATGTTGACCAGGCTGGTTTCAAACTCCTGATCCACCTGCCTTGGCCTCCCAAAGTGCTAGGATTACAGGCATGAGCCACTGCACAAAGCCTTTTTTCCTTTTCCTTTTTTTTTTTTTTTTTTGAGACGGAGTTTTGCTATTGTTACCCAGACTGGAGTGCAATGGCACGATCTTGGCTCACTGCAACCTCTGCCTCCTGGGTTCAGGCGATTCTCCTGCCTCAGCCTCCCGAGTAGCGGGACTACAGGCGCGCACCACCATGCCCAGCTGATTTTTTTTTTTATTCTTTTGAGACGGAGTTTTGCTGTTGTTACCCAGGCCGGAGTGCAATGGCAGGATCTCGGCTCACCGCAACCTCTGCCTCCTGGGTTCAGACAATTCTCCTGCCTCAGCCTCCTGAGTAGCTGGAATTACAGGCACGTGCCACCATGCCCAGCTAATTTTTCGTATTTTTAGTAAAGACGGGGTTTCACCTTGTTGACCAGGATGGTCTCGATCTCTTCACCTCGTGATTCACCCCCCTCGGCCTCCCAAAGTGCTGGGATTATAGGCCTGAGCCACGGCGCCGGGCCCCTTTTTTCTTTTTTTAAGAGTCATTCTAATGAGTGAGTTGAGATATCATTTTTTTTTTCTCTTGCTTTCTCTATTAATAATTGACATTTAGCATATTTCAGTATATCTGTTTGCCATATGTACGTATTCTCTTGAAAAATATGCTTTTTACTCATTTTAATAGTTACTTGTTTATTGTTTTATGCTCATTTAAGTTTCTTACATATTTTTATCTTAACCCCTTGTTCCATATTTTAGTTATCCTGTTGATTGTATCATCTTCTGCGAAGCAGCATTTTAATTTTAAGTATTGTGACTCTTATTATTTCTTTTGTTCCCTGGGATTTTGAGGTTAAATTAGTCACTGCCCAACCAATGTTATGGAACTTTCACTCATTTTTTTTTTTTTTTTTTTTTTTAGTAATAGTAGTTTCAGAGTTTGAAGCCACACATTTATGCATCTAATTTATTTTGAGTGGATTTTTATATGTGGTGTGAGTTGAGGTTCTCCTTTTAGTGCTCTACATGTGTCCATAAAGTTTTCTCAACAGCATTTACTGTCTTTTTCCTAAGAAATTGTCACCTTCATTTAAAATCAGTTAGCTGTAAGTACATGGCTATATTTCTGATTTTTTTTTTTTTGCTTCATTCGCTCACTGTTTTTATTCAATTGCCATAATGTTTTTGTTAGTATAGTTTTGTAGTATATTTAAAAGTCAGGTAGGCTGATAACTTTACTTTTCTGTTTGATGGCTTCGGCTATTCAGGATCTTTTGTGGTACCATATACATTATTGATGTATTTTTAATAATCTTTTAATTTTTTTGAGACAGAGTCTTGCTCTGTTCCATGCTGGAGTGCAGTGGTGTGATCTTGGCTTTCTGCAACCTCTGCCTCCTGGGTTCAAGCATTTCTGACACCTCAGTCCCATGCAAGTAGCTGGTACTACAGGCACGAGCCACCATGCCTAGCTAATTTTTGTATTTTTAGTAGAAATGGGGTTTCACCATGTCTGTCAGGATGTTACCGATCGCTTGACCTTGTGATTGATCTGCCCACCTTGGCCTCCCAAAGTGCTGCAATTACAGTAGTGATCCACAGCACCTGACCTATTCTTAAGGATTGGTATTAAGTATGTCACTGATATTTTCATTGAGGTTGCCTTATATCTGTAGATCATTCTGTGTTATACAAATATTTAACACTATTAATAATGGCAGTTCATTAATGATTAATATATCAATTTAATGTTTTTTAGGGTACAATGTAAGATGCTTCATATTTTTGGTAAAATTTATTTCAAAGTATAGTTATCACAGTTATTGTAGATGGAATTGGTTTTTAAATTTATTTTGAGATACGTGTTAGTTTATAGAAATGCTACTGACAGGCCGAGAGTGGTGGCTAATGCCTGTAATCACAGCACTTGGGGAGGCTGAGACAGGAAGATCATGAGGTCAGGAGTTGTAGACCAGCCTTGCCAATATGGTGGAACCCTGTCTCTACTAAAAATACAAAAATTAGCTCGTCATGGTGGCATGTGCCTGTAGTCCCAGCTACTGGGGAGGCTGTGGCAGGAGAATCGCTTGAACCCAGTAGGTAGAGGTTGCAGTGAGCCAAGATCATGCCACTGCACTCCAGCCTGGGTGACAGAGCAAGACTTCTCAAAAAATAATGATTATTATAATTATGATAAATAGTACTAGGAAAACTGCTTGGTCATATGCAGAAAAAAGTGGACCTCTACCTCTTTCCATATAGAAAATATAAGTCAAGATAGACTGTGATAACCTGCTTTTTGTTAGCTTAAACTGACTCTCTTCTTAGCTGAGAGCGGTTCAGGCTTCATGTTAGCTTCTTGAGCTGGACAAACTCCATCTTAGCGTCTTCATTTTAGTTACTCCCGTCATTAAGTATGTAACTGGGGCAGGATGACACCAGGCACATCCAGGAGTGCATTTGTTGATAAGAGGCCAAATTAGGTGGCACCAGCAGAGCCTGGGAATGCAGGTGCTGTCGAGTACCCAGAGCGCCCATATCTATAAGATGTATGTCTTTTTATGACAGCTCTAGCCTTGCACCTGGTACTGTTTTATTTCTTATGTACTAGTTTATCTTTTAACTTTTTGCTTACTCTGCTTCTGTGAGAAAATTGCTTCAGCTAGATTCCCCCCTGCCTTTTCAACCTAGGGTATGAGAAACCTTTTAACTCTTTCTTCGGGGCTGAGAGAATTTTGGGTGTTAGCCACCTCTCGGTCGCCAGCTAAAATAAAGGACTCATAATTCAATCTCAAAGTGTGGTGCATTCCTTGACTCACTCGGGTATAACAAGACTAAAGACTTACCTGTGAGTTTTCAAGCTACAAAAATTCTAGAAGAACACTTAGAGAGTACTCTTCTAGACACTGTCTCTGGAATGAGTTTCTGAATAACATCTTAAAAGTGAGTGCAACAAAAATAAAAATAAAAACTTTGCATCTAATTAAACTCAAGAGCTTCTGTACAGCCAAAGAAACTTATCAACAAAGAAACAGACACTTTACAATATGAAATATTTCCAAACTACATACAAGTGATTAATACATAGATTCTATAAGAAATTTAATTTGAAAAATCAGTAATATAGACACTTCTCAAAGGAAGACATAAGAGTTTCCAATAAACATTCAAGAAATGCCTAACACCCCAAACATCAGAGAGATGTCAACCAAAATGACAAAGTGACACCATTTTACACCTTTTAGAATGACTGTTTTTATAAGTCAAAAAATAGCATGTCTAAGTTGTGGAGAAACAGGTATCATTATAATGGTTGTTGGGATTGCAATAAAATGTAGCCCCTCTGGAAAGAAGTTTGGGGATTTCTCAAAGATCTAAAATAGAGCTGCCATTTAATCCGCCAGCCGCATCACTCCAAAGAAGAACAAATTCTTTTTTGCCAAAAGACACCTGCACTGACATGTTTATGGCAGCAAAATTCACAACACCAAAAGACACAGAATTAAACAGGGTGTCTATAAATCTTAGATTGGATAAGAGAAATGAGGTGCTTATACTGCATGCAATACTATGCAGCCACAGAAAAGAATGAAGTAATTTTTTTTTTTTTGGCACAACGTGAATGCAGCCGAAGGCCATTAATGTAAGCAAATTAACACAGATCCGTAAAACAAATACCACACATTCTCACTTATATGTGGGAGGTAAACATTGGGTGCAGAAGAAAACAAAGATGAAAATAGATGTTTAAAAAGATGGAAGAATAGGCCAGTCGCGGTGGCTCACACCTATAATCCCAGCACTTTGGGAGGCCGAGGCAGGTGGATCATGAGGTCAAGAGATCGAGACCATCCTGGTCAACAAGGTGAAACCCCGTCTCTACTAAAAATACAAAAATTAGCTGGGCATGGCGGTGTGTGCCTGTAATCCCAGCTATTCAGGAGGCTGAGGCAGGAGAATTGCTTCAACGCAGGAGGCGGAGGTTGCGGTGAGCCGAGATCGTGCCATTGCACTCCAGCCTGGGTAACAAGAGCGAAACTCCGTCTCAAAAAAAATAAAAAAAGATGGAAGAAGAAAGGGAGACAAGCATTGAAAAGCTACTTTCAGGTATGATGTTCACTACTTGGGCAATGGGATTATTAAGTATCCAGACCTCAACGCCATGCAGTGTACATATGCTGCAAATCTTCCCTGAACCTAAACTAGAAATAACAAGATGTTTTGTGGCATAATGACATGTTTCTTTAGTTCCAAGTTAATAGTTGGAATCAGCAGTGAGAGAGAATTATTTACTCCTTAACGTACGGGGTAAATGTTTCTGTACCAGGTCCCCACAATTTGGGAGCTATCTTCTCTGTAAGCTTGTGGCCTATAGCCCAAGGTGTGTTTTATTCCCAAGTGTGCAGTTAAAACAGATGACGCTACATCTGTACTTTTTATGTATTAACTATACACTAGACTATATGGTTAATTTGTTACTCTGTTTGAGGAAAAGTGGTAGGTGATGTAATTACATTTTCTTAAGAATGAACCATTTTTGAAAATATGAGGCTGTGAAGATTATGCTAAATAATTAACATTTGTCTGAAAAGAAGCATAGAAGTTTTATGACCATAGCCCAAGAATGATGAAACAGAGAGTGGGAGAGTGGGTTAAGATCACACTGCTGTAGCCATTCCATCACAATCCTTCTCATAATAATAATAATAATGGGTCAAAAGGAATTTTTAGAATACTTTTCTTAATTCCATCAAAGTATTAAATTTTTATTTGCTGTATTTGCTGCTTCTGCTGCTGCTTTATTTTTTTTATATTAGCTGGAGATTCACTCTTGTTGCCCATGCTGGAGTACGATGGTGCAAACTCAGCTCATTGCAACCTCTTCCTCCCAGGTTGGCCAGACTGGTCTTGAGGTCCTGACCTCAAGTCATCTGCATGCCTCAGCCTCCAAAAGTGCTGGGATTATAGGTATGGGCCACTGAGGCCAGCCAAACATGTTTAAATTAAAAATACCTTCAGCAACTTAGGCCTGAAATTTGATAAAAAATTGTTTACTCATCATTAATCAATATCAGGTTAAACTAGAAAATTTTGAAAACATTGTACAGAAAGTTAAATAAGATTTGTCAACATTCCCCAGACTTAATCTGATTAAAACAGGACATCTGGGTATTTAAAAACACCAGATTGGCTGGGTGAGGTGGCTCATGCCTATAATCCCAGCATTTTGGGAGGCCAAGGTGAGCAGATCACCTGAGATCAGGAGTTCGAGACCAGCCTGGCCAATATGGTGAAACCCAGTCTCTCTTAAAAATACAGAAATTAGCCAGGCTTGGTTACACACACCTGTAGTCCCAGAAACTCAGGGGGCTCAGGCGGAACAATCACTTAAACCCAGGAGGCAGAGGTTACAGTGAGCCAAGATTTCGCCACTGCACTCCAGCTGGTGACAGAGTGAGATTCCATCTAAAAAAAAAAGAAAAAACAGAAAACGAAAAACACCAAATTAGTGATGAAAAGTATTTATTTTTAAAAGATTTTTGACCTTATATATATAAAAACATTGTTTTTTTTTCCTGTATATATATATGCTATCATTGTTTCATCTGTGTCTTGCTTATTTATATATATATAAGTTTGAGATTCCACACTGCAAATAAACTTTAACGTATATTACATTTTCCATCACCACAATCCAGGTGATAAATATGTTCATTCCCTCCAAAGTTTCCTTGTGTCCTTGTGTTTTGTTTTTATCTTGTGTGTGTTAAAGACACTTAACACAAGATCTACCCTCCATAAATTTTTTTTTTTTTTTTTTTTTTCAGTGGAAAGTAACTTTTATTGAGACCCCACCAGCTGCAAAATGTGTTCCTGGCATTAAGCTCCTTCTTCCTTTGCAATTCGGTTTTTCTTGAGTGGTCCCATGAACGCTTTCTTCTCCTCCATGGTCTGGAAGCGGCCATGGCCAAACTTAGAGGTGGTGTCAATGAACTTAAGGTCAATCTTCTCCAGAGCCCACCACTTGGTCTGCACCAGCAAGGACTTTCGGAGGGTGAGCACTCGCTTCTTGGTTCCCACCACACAGCCTTTCAGCATGACAAAGTCATTGGTCACTTCACCATAGTGGACAAAGCCACCCAGAGGGTTGATGCTCTTGTCAGACAGGTCATAGTCAGTGGAGGCATTGTTCTTGATCAGCTTGCCGTCCTTGATAAGGTAGCCCTGGCCGATCTTATAGATCTTCTTGTTGATCTCAGTGCGGTGATGGTAGCCTTTCTGCCCAGCACGTGCCACAGAGAAGGCCACACGGGCAGGATGCCATGACCCAATACAGGCCACCTTGCGCAGGCCTCGGTGGGTCTTGCGGGGCAGCTTCTTGGTGTGCCAACGACTGGTAACCCCTTTGTAGCCTTTGTGCTTGCTCACCCCGATCACGTCAATCATCTCGTCCTGCCCAAACACTTGGTTCACAGGTACCTGCTGCTCCAGCCTCTTGCGGGCCCAGTCCAGCTTCTCGGACACGGTGCCTCCATTCACCTGGATCTCCATCAGGTGGGCCTTTTTCTGGCGCAGAGGAAGCAGGCGCATCTGGGTGTGGGCAATGACGCGGATGACTTGGCAGTATTTCTTCATGCTGCTGAAGTCCTTCTCCAGCTGCTTCTTGCCATCCTCATCCTGCCATTTCTTGCAGTACTTGGTGAAAGCCTTCTTCTTAGATTTATGCCAGTTCTTATAGAAACGCCTTTTGCACTCATCACTGATGTGTTCGGCGAAGACAGTCTTGAAGGTCCGGAGGCCTCGAGGGGTTTCCACGTAGCCCACAATGCCCACAACCACCATGGGTGGCGTCTCCACAATGGTCACAGCCTCCACCACCTCCTTCTTGTTCACCTTGGATCCTGGCCTATCGACCTCCCGCACGATATGGGTCATGCCAGCCTTGTATCCCAGGAAGGCTGTGAGGTGGACCGGCTTGGAAGGGTCATCCTTGGGGAAGCTCTTCATCTTCCCACGATGCCTGCTGTTGCGCTTCTGAGGCAGGAAGCCGAGGGACCCATGTCTGGGAGCGGAGAACTTCCTGTGAGACATGATACCGTCAAATCCAGTCGCAGAGCCATAAATTTTTTTTTAACTGTACTTTAGGTCCTGGGGTACTTGAACAGATAGTGCAGGATTTTTGCATAGGTACATACATGGCAAGGTGGTTTGCTGCCTTCATCCCCCCCAATCACGTATATCTGGTATTTCTCCCCTCATTATCCCTCCCCACCCCCCACTTTTCTCCTTTAGCCCCTGAACTGATCATAATGTGTGATGTTCCCCTCCCTGTGCCCATGTGTTCTAATTGTTCAACACCCACCTATGAGTGATAACATGCAGTGTTTGGTTTTCTGTTCTTGTGTCAGTTTGCTGAGAATGATGGTTTCCAGATTCATCCATGTTCTCTCAAACGCTGTGCTGGGATTGGGCAAGTTTCTTAACCTCTCTGATTTTTCTGTTACTTAAGAGGTAATAATATGGCAGTCATGGACACAGGGAGGGGAGCATCACACACTGGGGTCTATCGGGGGGAAATAGGGGAGGGACAGCGAGGGGTGGGGAGTTGGAGAGAGAGAGCATGGGGAGAAATGCCAGATATAGGTGATGGGGAGGAAGGCAGCAAATCACACTGCCATGTGTGTACCTATGCAACAATCTTGCATGTTCTTCACATGTACCCCAAAACCTAAAATGCAATAAAAAATAAAAACATGGCAGTGAAATCCGTGTTGTTATTTGAATGTTATAATAAGTTAGATAAAGTTACATTAAGAACAATAAAAACATTAAAAAAGACAGAACATAGATACATTCGAGACTTAAACATTAGATAATATTTTAAACAATTTTTTGGGGCCGGGCGCGGTGGCTCAAGCCTGTAATCCCAGCACTTTGGGAGGCTGAGGCGGGCGGATCACGAGGTCAAGAGATCGAGACCATCCTGGTCAACAAGGTGAAACCCTGTCTCTACTAAAAATACAAAAAATTAGCTGGGCATGGTGGCGCGTGCCTGTAATCCCAGCTACTCAGGAGGCTGAGGCAGGAGAATTGCCTGAACCCAGGAGGTGGAGGTTGCGGTGAGCCGAGATCGCGCCATTGCACTCCAGCCTGGGTAACAAGAGTGAAACTCTGTCTCAAAAAAACAAACAAACAACAAAAAAACGATTTTATTTAATTATGAAATTTAGATAAAACTACCTGTTTTTCCAGAAGAATAAGTGACAAAAAACTGATTGAGGAAAAAATAAAAAAGGTAAATAGAAAAATTCAAAAAAATGTTTTTAATTTGACACACCTAAAAAGCACATACGTTATAAAAGAACAGCTTGATAAATTTGTACAAAATGCATATACCGTGAACCCAGCACCCAGTGATGGAAGAGTGTGAGCATCCTGGCACTCTCCCTCCTTTATTCTCCTTTCCCGTCACTGTTCACTCAAGAGAAACGTATATCCTGGCTTTTTATACGATAAATAATATTTGCCTGTTTTTGAACTTTAGATTAAGACAGTAAGTTCTCATTTTTGTCCAGGTTTTTTTGGTTCATCATTGTTTGTGAGATTAATCTCCGTTGCTGCATATAGTTTGCATATTCATTGATCTACAATGTGACATCATATAAACTAAATTCACTTATTCAACTGTTAATGAACAGCTGGTAATTTTCCAGGCTTTTCAGCACTTCTATAGACCATCTTGTGGATTTTTAAAGATAAATTTGTGCAATTATGTAGATATTTAACCACAAATATAATTAAAATCAATTTCTTTCTTCAGCTTGTGCAGACATTGGCAAGCCCTCTTTCAGAATGTAGTACCAACCTATACCAGCAGCACTTGTGAGGATTATTTATTACCTAATTGTCTTTGTTTTCAAACCCTACAGTGTAAACTTTGTGGTCAGAGGCCTTTAATTGCATTCACCATTGTACTTACAGTTTTTAGTTGAATAAATAAATTTGATTTGACTTTGAAGCTTTTATTTTTTGAAAAAATAACTGTGGTAAAATTGATTTATTTATATTTCCCTGAACATTTATTTCCCACAGCTCTGTTTCTTTACACATAAGATTTATCTGCAACAATTTTTTTATTCTTATTTTGACCATTCTTAGTAAAGATTATTTCACCCCAGGAGATACTGTAATGAAGTTGCCATTTCAGCAGGTTTTCAAGAAGATAGGCCTCGGCTGACCAGGTGAGCTCTAAGCAATTGTTAACAACTACCTTCTAAATATGTATTATTTATATATTTACATACCATGAACATTTAGTAAGCTATAATATTTACAATATTGTTTCTGTTCTGAGATCTACATAACACCAATGACAGTATTTTGATCAATAGGAGGAATATACATACAGCCTTGCACAAAAAACACCTAATACATTTGCATCTGTATAAGATAATGTAAAATCAATTTTTCAAAGCCCAAGGGACTGAAACACACACATACACATGCACAACTTCCTATTACAAGATTCATCATTTCTCCTGTTTGCTGGGTCCGGGTATGAGAGTCATCACTGCGCCTATGAGCTGGGTTCAGAAATAAGACATCCCACCTGTGGTAAAATTCACATATACAGTCACAATTCAAACTGTGAGCTGTATCCATAAGTGAGACCCATACCCTCAGCAGTGGGCTCTGTTAATTTGTGAGGGTGATGATCCTGTCAGCTGGATGTGCACAGAGGAGTCACAATCTCACCTTTGTACTGGGTCCTGTTATAAAACTCTGTGAACTTTAAGGGCTTTATATTATATGCATGAGTGGGGTAATCTCTCAGAACTTTCTGCAGACAGAAGACTTGGGGCCTTACCCAATGCCCTAAGCCCAGCTACAAAATCAACACCTCTTCTATTGGCTAAATTCAAATATGAGGGTCATCATTACACCTGTGAGCTTGGACTAGAAATGAGTCATCATCTCACACGTTGCCGAATTTACATAGGACAGTCACAACTCTAACTGTGGATGATGTCCACATGTGTGACTCCGGACCTCACCAGTAGGTTCTGCCCATGTGTAAGAGTGACAATTCTAATTGTTGGCTGGGCATGCCTATGGGATGCACAATCTCACCTGTGTGTTGGTGCTTCAGTGTCATCCCCTTCTGTGAATTACCACAAGCAGAAAACAGAAGACCTGACCTATTCTCCTAATTCCAGCCATGAGAGTCAAAATCTTTCCTATCGGATGGGTCCACATATGAGAGTCATCATCACACCTGTGAGCTAGGCCGGTGTAAAGAGACCAAACAGGAGAGTCACGCTGATTGAATGCTGGTCTAGGAATATTTCAAGAAACCTCTATATTCAGGGCCCTGGCAAGAAAGTCACATTACTTGAATGCTGAGCTCAGCAATATGTCACAATGCCTCTTATGGGCAGGGCCCAGCCTAGAGAACCACATCACCTTGGTCCTGTGCAAAGCAGTATTTCACAATTAACTCCATTTACGGGGCTCAGGAAGGAGAGGAAAGTCACATCATGTAGGTTCTAGCCTATTGGATAGGTCACAATGCTTTTATTTGGCAGAACTGAGGCAGCAGAGTCACATCATTTGGGTGTAGGGCCCAGCAATATGCCAAAATCCTCACTGATGTCAGGGCCCGTGCAAAAAAAAAAAGAAGAGTCATGTCACCTAGGTGCTGGACAAGAAATATGTCACAGTTCCCCTGTAGATTCAGCCCTGGCCCATCAGTCACATCTCCTGAGCACTAAGTTCAGCAATATGTCACAATGCCCTCTATGGTACAGGCCAGAGCAGAAATATCACATCACCTAGGTGATATGCCTAGTAATATGTCACTATACTGTGGGCAAGGCCCAAGCAAAAGAATTACATCATCTAGGTGATGAGCCCCATGATATGTCACAATGCCCACTTTGTGTAGGGCCCAAGCAGAAGTGAAAACTTACATCATTGTGTCTTGGGCCTAATGTAAGCAGTGCTTAGGCAGAAGAGTCCCATTACCTAGGTATTGAGCCCAGAGATATATGGAAATCTTCCTGTGCGCAGAGCACAAGCAGGTGAGGAAGGTCACATCACCTAGGTGGTAGGCCCAGAGATATGTCACAATTCCCCCTTTAGGCCAGGCCAATGCAGAAGAGTCACATCACCTGAGAGATAGTCCCCACACTATGTCACCTTGCCCCTTGTAAACAGGGCCCTGAGAGAAGCTGAGAATCACATTACCACAGACCATAAGTGCTGGTCTCAGTGATATCTTACCACTCTCTTCTAGGACAGAGTCCAGGCAGGAGAGGGAAGTCACATCACCTAAGTACTGAGCCCAGTGACATGTCACCATTTTCACTGAGGGGAGGGCCCAGGAGATTCACATCACCAAGATGCTAGGTTCAGTGATGTGTCAAAATCGCCCCTATGGGCAGGGCCCAGACAGGACAAAGAGTGACATGGTTTGGCTGTGTCCCCACCAAAATCCCACCTTGAATTGTAATACTCCCCATGTGTCAGGAGTGAGACCAGGTAAATATAATTGAACTATAGAACCGGTTCTCCTATACTGTTCTTGGGGTAGCGAATAAGTCTCATGGGATCTAATGGTTTTATAAAGGGGAGTTTCCCTGCACAGGCCTTTGTGCCTGCCACCATGTAAGATGCCTTTTTCCTCTTCCTTCATCTTTTACCATGATTGTGAGGCGTCCTCATCCATGTGGAACTGTGAGTCCACTAAACCTATGTCTTTTATAAATTACCCAGTCTTGAGTATGACTTTATTAGTAGTATGAGAACAGACTAATATGGAAAGTCACATTTTTAGTTGATGGGCCCATACATGTATCACACTGCCCTCTGTGGGCAGGGTCCATGCAGCAGAGTGAAAACACTTGAGTGCTGGGCCCAGCGTTTTGTAACAATCACAGCTGTGGGCAGCACCTATTCAGAAGAGAATAGCCACTTCACCCAGGTGATGGGGCAAGAGATATGTCACAATGTCCCTTTTGGCCAAGGCCCAGGTAATAGAAGAGAGTCACCTTACCTAGTTTTTATACACACACACATATATATATATATATATATATACACACACATATATATTTATGCATATATATTATATGCAAGACAGGAAAATACAATATATATATATAAATACAATATATATAAAATACTATATTTATATGTGTGTGTGTGTGTATATATATATATATATAGTATGTAAGGCGCAGGAGAAAAGTCACATCACCTAGGTTCTTGGTTCAGGGATATGTCACAATTTTTCCTATGAGAAGGACAGAGGCAGAAGGGTCACCTTACCTACATGCAGTGTACAGTGATATGCCACTATTTTGACTAAGAACGGGGCTCTGGCAGGTAAAAACGAGTCCCATTACTTGTGTGATGAGCAGAAAGATACATCACAATGCCTTTTGTGGGCTGCCAAGGCCAGGCAGAAGAGAAACATCACCTCGGTCCTGGGCTCAGCAACATGTCACAGTCTTCCCTTGGGCATTGACCAGGCATAAAAAGGGGGATACCTCCAAATACATGTCACAATTTACCCTAAAAGCAAGGCCTAGAAAAAAAATAGGAATACATTACCTAGGTGCTGGGTCCTGTGATATGTTACATTCTCTTCTGTCAGCCAGAACCAGACAGGAGAGTCACATCACATGGATGCGGAGACATGTCACACTGTTCTCCATAGGCAGAGCCTGGGTAGGAGAGTTAAATTATCTGGATTCAAGGCCAAGCTCTATGTCACAATGACCCCTATGAGCAGGGCCCAATCAGGAGAAAAGAGTCACATCATTTAACTGTTGAACATGGTAATATGTAACAACACCCACTGTGGGTGGGTCAAGAAAGGGGAGAAGCATGACATCATCTAGATGATGAGCCCAGTGACATGTCACATTTCCCACTGTGGGGAGGGCCCAAAGAGGTGGGGAGGGTCACATTACCTAGGTGCTGGGCCAAGCGGTATCTAACTCTTCCCTACTGAGCAAATTCCAGGCAGGAGAGGAAAGTGACCTCATCTAGTTGCTGGGCTCGGCAATATATTACCATTCATACTGTGGATGGGGTCCGAGCAGCAGAGGAGAATCCGATCACCTAGGTTCTGAGTCCAGTGATATGTCATAATTCCCCCTGAGGGAATGACCCAGGTATGAGAGGGGAGTCCCTTAATCTAGTTAATGTTCCCAGAGAAATGTCACAATGCTCCTGTAGGAACAGGGAGGGATGTCACAATATCTCATATTCCAGGGAGGAATATTTCCCAATGTTCCATATTCCAGGGAAGAATATATCACAATGTCGCTGGAGGAAGAATCACATAACCTAAATGCTGGGCTTAGCAACATGTCTCAATCTTTTCTGTTTGCAGCTCCCAAGCAAAAGAAGAAAGTCACAGCCTTTAAGTGCTTGCCCCGGTATATGTCACAATTTCAGTTTGGGGCTGGGCCTGGGCAGGAAAGTCAAATTTCTAAGGGGCTGGGCAAAGGCATATGTCATAATCACATTTGTGGGAAGGTACAGGGATGAGATTGACAATCCTGTGTATGTTCCAGCTCTAGGTATGAGATTCAACATCTGTGTGTTGGGTCCTAGAACAGGAGTCACAAACTCAGTGGTGGACTGGGTATGTGCATGAGACCTCAATCTCACCAGCAGACCATGTCCCAGTAGGGAACTCACAGCCTCACAGGTGTGTCAGATCCAGGTCAGGGAGTCACTAACTCACTTGTGGACTGGATTCTTGTCTGAGACACAATTCCAAATGTTGACTGCCTCCAGCTCTGAGATTTGCCAACACTGTGCTATATTCAAGTGGGAGGGTGACAATTCTTACTTTCAGCTGGCTGTGGATACAAGAGTCACAGTCTCATTGGTGTCCTGGGCCCTATTATGACACACTGTGCAGCTAAATGGCTTTAAAATATACACCTGAGAGTCAGTATCTGCTCTGAGACCTTCCTGCCTGTGGATCCACAATCTTATTCATTCCCTAGAATCAGGAACGAGATTGAACATCTCTCTTCTTGGCTGGATCCAGGTATGAGAGTTATCACTGTTCCTGTGATCTGAGTCCATCAATGAGTCACCATAGGAACTGTGGCCATATTCACTTATGATCATCACAGGCCCAGAACCTAGAGGATGTGAGGCTCCTGCCTGAGCCCTGCCTGCAGTGAGCCTGTGACATATGTCTGCATCCATCACCTCAGAGTTGTGACACATTTTCTGCCTGAACTTTGCCAACCAAAAAAATTGTGACTTATTTCTGCACCCAGCAACCTGTTGATGTGTCTCTCCTGCCTGGGATTTTCCCACAGAGGGCATTGTGACATATTGCTGGGCCCAGCACCCAGGTGAGCTGATTTTGTTCCTGTTGCACTGCTTTCAGGAGGAGATGTTAAAATGTTCTTGGCTAAGCACGCTAATGATGTGACTCTCCAGCCTGGTCTCTGCTTTCATAACAGACTGTGACACATCCATGGCCTAGTGCCTGGGTGCTGTGTCTCTCCTGCTTGTTCCTACTGAGAGGTGGCATTGTGACATATACCTTGGTTCAGCTCACAGGTGTAATAATGACTAGCATACCTTGTGTGCTGAACCAGCCAACAGAAGAGATACTGACTCTCCTATTTAGGCTTAGAAAAATAAGTAAGGCCCTGTGTCTCCTCTTTGTGAGAAGGTTATAGAAAGCTACTACTCTCACCTACCCTCTCACATTGATAGAGCCTACAGGTGATGTTTTGAATCTCACATGCAAATGCAGTCTACAGCTTAAATTGTGACACTGACACCGCAACATCAAGCCACAAATGGAATGGTTACTCATGTTTAAACACAGCTTGTAGGCAGGTGAAAACTCTCCTATCTGGACACAGTCAATAAGAAAGATGTTGACTCTCACCCCTGGGCTTAGGGCCAAGGTACAATCAAAGGTCCCTCTAGTGTGAAAATTTCAGAGTAAATTTTGACTCACGTATATTGTATAAAGCCCTCGAGTGGTACAGAGAGTGTTCTAGCAGGACCAGCACACAAGTGAGATTGTAACGTATATGCACACCCAGGCGAGAGGAAAGATTGTCATTGTTTCACATGAACACGGCTCACTGTTGAGGTTCTGACTCTCACACCCTGAGGTGGCTAAAAGTTGACTCTCATACATGAATCTGTTCCACAAATGCATTCATGACACTCAAATTAAGATTCAGGAAACCCATGAGGCTTTGACTCTACTTACAAAACACAATTCACAAAAGGAATGGGGCTCTCACACGGAGATCCTGTTGACCACTGAGATTGTGACTTGTGTACTTAGAGCTACCCTACAGAAGTGGACCCATGCCTAGAACAGGGACATGTGTGAGATTGTTAATCTCAACCCTGGACCTTCTGTAGGTGTTATTGTTACATATGCCCCAGTCCAGCACCTGAGTGATTTGACTCTACTGCCTGGACCCAGCTCACATATGAGATTGAAACATATAACTGCGCTGAGCAGAGGGGGCATTTTGACATCACTGGGCCTTGCACTCAGGTGGTGTGTCTCCTCTGGTGCCTTGATGCCGCCCACAGGAGGCATTGTAATATACCAGTGGGCCTATGCCCATGTCATTGAACTCTCTTGCCTAAGGCCTCCCTGTATAGAAAATTGTTTCATATCCTTGTTTCATATCCCAGAACTGTCACCCAAGTGCTGTCACTATCTTTATTTGCCTGGTCTTAGCTCTTAGGGGAGAATAAAACATCACTTTGTTCATTACTGAGCTGATGTGACTTCTCTTGTCTTCTGAGGTTTTGCTCGCAGGGGAGATTGTGACATAAAGCTGGGCCCAAAACCATGGTGATGTTACTCTTTGCCTTGGCACCGTCCTCAGAAGGCATTGTGAATACTGCTGTTACCAGCGCCAAGGTGAAGTGTGTCTTGTGTTTGGACCCTGCCCACATAGTGCATTGTGACATATCTTTGGGCTCATCAGCTATTTGATTGGACTTTCTCCCCTTACCACATCTTTGCCTATAACAGATACAGTGAAACACATCTGGGCCTAGCACCGAGGAAATGCGATGCTCCTTTTATGCCTGGACTACGTTTAGAAAGAAAGAGTGATGTGTTGCTGTTTGTCACCTAGGCCATGCGACCCAGCACATTGCCTAGCGCAAAGGTGATGGGACACTTCTGCCTGGTCCCTGCCAATAGAGGTAATTGGAATATATCTCTGGGCCCATTACCTAGATGAAGTGTCTCCTTTTCTTTTTTGAGTGTGTCCACAGTGGAAATTATGATATATTGCCAGTCCTCACACCCAGGTTTTGTGACTTTCCTGCTTGTGTCATTCCCACAATGTTTTGTGGGGCATTGTGACAATATTCTGAATCCAATATTATTCTTGCCTGGAATTTTGTGACATCTGTCTGCACCATCACCCAGGTGACTTGACTCCTTTCTCTTGCCTAATTCCTGCTCAATCTTGTGACTCTCCACTCATGCCTCAACCATGCTCACTAGGGTGACTGTGAAGTATGACTTGGTCTACCCTACAGGCTTTGTGACTTTCTTCTTCTTCCTGAGCCCTAACACAAAAAGCACTGGGATACACCTGTGTGTCACTGCCCAGGTGAGGAGATTTTTCTGCCTAGGCCCTTTTCTTAGGGGATATTGTGACCTATATGCACCTAAATGATGACGTGACTGTGTTCTACTGCTTGGGCTCTGCCCGAGAAGGAATTGTGATGTATCACAGAGCCGAGATTCTAGGTGCTGGGGACTTTTCTTCTTCCTGGGCTCTGCGTATATTCTGTGTTGTGATACATGGCTGGGATCAAAACCTACCTGATGCGACTCTTCTAACCGGGCCCTGCCAACAGGGATATTGTGACATCTTTTTGTTCATCACTCATATGTTGTGACTCACTTCTTCTGCCTGTGTCCTGACAAAAAGGGTACAGGGGCATGTCCCTTGATCTAGCTCCCAGGTAATGTGATTGTCTTATTTGTCTGGCCCTTGCATATATGGAATATTAAGATGGCTGATTCCTAAATCAATAAGATTTAACTATCCTCCCTTATCCCTGCCAACAGAAAGCCTTTCTACATATCCCTGAATCCATCACCTAAGATATGTGACTTTCCTTTTCTGCCAGCATTCTATCCACAGGAAAGACTGGGACACAATGCTGGGCCCACCATTGAGATGATGTGTCTTTTCTGCCTGGGTATTGCCCACAGGAAGCATTGTGACATATCGCTGGGCCCAGCACCCAGGTGATGTGACTGTGCATCCTGTGCCCTGCTTTCAGGAAGGGGTTGTAAACTATCCCTGGCCGAGCACCCAGGTAATGTGACTCTTCTGCCTGGTCTTTGTCCTCAAGGAAGATTGTGACATATGCCTTGTCCAGCTCCCAGCTGAGATGACTCTCCTGCTCACCCTCTACCCATAGGCAGGATTATGATGTATAGCTTGGCCCATCTCACAGGTCAGATGCTGAGCCTCTTTCCTCAAACCTGTCAATATAAGAGATACGTTCATAGCTAGGCCTGGTGAAATGGGTAAGGTCCTGTATCTCCTCTTTGTATGAA